ATTATACAATATCTTTATCAGCCATTTTTGTGTCACTTCTAGGTTTTTAATATATTTATTAGTTATCCCACCCCAAACACGTATGCCATAGTTCATTTATGTTTGAACTAGGCTTGCATAAAGTGTCTTCATTTGTGTCGAGTCGAATAATTTTTGATACAGTTTGAATTTTGTTATCAATGATCTCAATTTTTTTGTTACGTATTCAGCATGTTTGTGTGCCATCTAAGATTTTGATCTACCTTCAAACATTCCACCATATTATTGTTATTGATAAATTTTCTATAGAGTTAGTGCAGTTCTGGTGACTATTTATTTTGTTGGAGTTAAATCTCATTTGTAAAAGATTTTTCAATCTCCACGAAAAAAAAAAGTGCAAAAAATCAACATTATTCACTTACTATTGAAAATATTCCATATATAATATGCAATATTTGGGCTTCGGACCATATTTCCATTTTGTTCGATGACAAATAATAGAGGGATATAGGTGAAGTTAGGGTATGGAGTATCATCATGATAATCTGAGAGAACATTGCTAAAAATATCCAACCGTACCACTCATTAACCAGTATTGTTATTGTATCCATTTCTGAGTAGAGCCTTTCAACTATTTTTATCCTCTGTGTTATATTGAAAATGTCGGTATCATTTCTCATAACAATTTCGTTCACATCTTCATATTTGCGTTTGATGCAAATGAATAAATTAGAGATGATATTGATATGAAAAAGTTCCGCGTAAGTTAGAAAACAGTTGACTCCGTAGTATCGTATTACAGTCATTGAACCTGCTGGGTTGTACACGGTCTCTAAATACCATAAGACGAAATGTGCAAAACTGCTGATAATAAACATGGAGCTGGCATTAGAGAAGAAACTAAAGTCTTTCGTTTCCTCGGTGTTGAGATTTTGAGAATCTTCTAAACTCACAAATTTCTGGATCAATTCATTCCATTTGATTGCCTTTCTAGAAATAGAACCAAACGCTGATATTAAAAATAATAACAGTGCAAAAAGTTCACTACATATGTCTAAAAACTTCACAACTGCTCCAATGTTTCCATATATCTCTTCTGCATTCGTATATCGAGAATAAATCGAGTAAACTGAAGTTCCGAACACGACAGAAATGATTATGAGGGTGTAAAACTTCAAAAACATGTGTTGATGAAGCGGCCGATTTTTGAATTCACAGTTTGGTAAGACACAAAACACCACAGCAAGTTTCGCAATTGACTCTAAACATAATATACTTTTCCTACTTTGGTTGAACCTCATCGCGACTGTTAAAGGAAAGTTTGTCGAAAGACGAACTAAAATTATTTGCCCATGAAACACCCTTCTATTATTTTCTAATCGACAGAAATTGTTACAAAGCATATACAATTAATCATCCATATTCACGAAATGTTTTGTGAACAGCTTTACACTTTGGGGAATTACAAAAAAGTGGGTGGGTTGTTTATGCTGATAAAAGAGATGTTTGGACAAATACGTTTCAATAATTAAAAGGTATCATGTTATGTCGACATTTCATAAAAATAATATTTTTGATGCAAGAAGGGAATTGGTGAATATAATGGGCTCGGAGTACAGTAAACGTATGCCACTGTCAACATTTCTACATTTTTCGATAGCGGAAAATCGCCAAACACACGAAACACTTCTAACTTTTATACCTCTCACCAACAAACTAAACATGCTAAACAGCTGAAAGAGTGAACATTTATTCGGGACCAGTGTAGCAACATAAGAAAATAAAAGAATCGCTAATCGAATTTATGTAGCCATCTGTTTAAAAATCTGTTTAAAATCTGTGTTTAATTAGCTGTCGCCCCCATACGAACGACAACTCTCAAAAGTTGAGAAACTTGTGCGAGCTGAGGACTAACGAGGTCTTACCAGCAGTATAAAAAACGGAAGTAGTCAGGTCTTTAGCGGTGTTGTCATATTGTTCAGTATATCGGGTATATTTGAATTACGGTCAAATAAAAATATTGAANCTCCATGTTGACAACGCTACGCTGACGATTCGCGTGCAATATCCAAGTAGCCCATTGTCGGCGTTTCCATAACAACAAAACCGTAGCACTGCATAATTATTGCTGTCAACTTACCCAACGAAACTAGTTTTATTGTTAATTGTTATAGTATAAACAGTTCAGATTTATTAAATATTGAATATAATAGAATGCGAAGATTTAGAGTTGGAAAATAGACCTCCAGAAATTGTGTTCAGAAAGTAATAGATGTTTGCAATAATTTGCTACCAAGCACATCAAAAGAAAAATGTAGAATCGCTTACAGAAACTTTATGGACTGTAAAATGAAAGCCAAGGTAAATTCTTGTTCATTAATACCTTGTTAGTTTTGAAGAGTTGTCAAGAAGATTGAAATCATCAACATTCTGGTTTCCGAAGGTCATCTGCGACTATTTTAGTTAATGCAGGGGCAGATCTTTTAACTTTAAAACGCCATGGGGGTTGGAAATCCAGCAATGTTGCTGAATCTTATATCGACAACTCCATAGCTATCAAAATGAAAATTTCAAAAACTATAGTAGAATCCACTCAGCCTCCAGCGCCATTAGAACCTGAACACAACAATGCTGTGGAAGCTCAGTACGTTTCCCCATCAACTTCAACTTCGCCTACTAGGAATTCCTACTAGGAATTACATTACAAAATTGTTAAAATATAACTGTTAAGTATTATTATATATGTATTTTAATTTTCAATACTTGAAAACGACGCAACCGTAGAAAAAGTACAGTGTACAGCAATGCATGCGTGAGAAAATGACATTTCTCACTCGCTTGATTTGCGGCCTGCGCTCGTGAGAAATATGTCGTTTTTCTCACTTGTTGTAAAATATACTATTATTCCAAAAATACTGAATTTTGACAAAAAAACAGTCGCACGAACATCGCTCAGGAATTGCGGCGATTCAGATTTGCTTAATGGGGTCATAACTGGTGAAAAATCATGGGTATATGGTTATAACATCGAAACCAAAGTCCAAACGTCCCAATGGAAGAGCCTATGAAGCCAAGACCAAAAAAGCACGACAAGTTCGATCAAATGTCAAGGTTTTGCTCACTATTTTCTTCGATAACCGTGGCGTAGTGCATCCGGAGTGCTTGCCACAATAAAGAGTATTATGTTGAAGTTATACACCACTTGTGATAAATAATACAAAAAAATAATCTGGTATTGTAGAAAAATAGTTCGTAGATTTTGCAACACGATAATGCACCTATTCAGTCGTCATTACTTGTTCGTAATTTTTTCGCCAAAAACAACACCGTAATTATGCCTCAGCCACCGTATTCACCATATTTTGCCCTCTGTAACTCTTTTCTGATCCCAAGATTGGAGAGAGCCATGAAAGGACGGCGCGGCATTTTGCAACGATTGAAGAGATAAAAATCTAATGGCCAAAAGAGCTCAAGAACATAAATAAAAAGTGCACATCAGAACTGTTTCGAGGATTGAAAATAACACTGACACAAGTGTATTACATCTAAGGGGGACTACTTGCAAGTGGACAGAATAGAAATTGATCAACAAATAAATTTTTTTTTTTGAGAAAAATGATTATTCACCTTATTTTTTGAACAGAATAGCATATGCCGACGATGCCACGAATCCGCAATTGGCCCCTGATGATGAGTCCGCTTGTTGTTTGTGTTTTTACCCTTTTTTGCAGCCAAGTGTTGCACATTCTTTAAACTTGGCTGCACCGAACTGACGAAGGCTGAGTAGGCAGAAACACGATTCTGTGTGTGTGTGTGGGTGCGCGCGAACCTACGTTTCATTTCATTTTTAATACATGATAATACTCAACAAATCAACAATTTTGTTTGGAAACTCAAAAATATAACTCAAAATACTTTATCAAATTACCATTTCGTCTTGTTTCAATGGTTTACTTCGCTATAGCCGAGGATGTAGTTCCGTAGACACTGCTGCCTCTCCGCAGCCAGTTCACAGTTTCATCAAGGAATCTAATACTTTTAATTCATTTAGAAGCTCTGAATTTAAATATTCATAAACTTCATCTCTTATCACTGATAAGAGGTACTTAGCTATTTCAATTTACACACTTTTCGCAAGAGAAGCCAAGTTTTTTATAATTTTTCTTGAAATAAGATACATTTCTGACGAAAAAAAATAGCCAAACCATCAATTTCTGAAAATTCATTGAGTGGAATTTCCGAATGTACTACTGTTTACAGGGTGTTCCACTTGAAAAAGGATGTGATTTTTGTTGGAGCTGGGTAAAATAAACATCCTGTAATCCTCAATGGAGGTCATCGATGTTTCGCAATAAGACATTTGTCTTATTCCGATACCTTTCTTTCCCAAAAATTAGACTCTCCTATAAATATGTCCCTTTTTATTTAAACCAAAAATACTTTATTCTTGAACGAATAAATATTTTTTGATCTGCCTAGTCTGCTGACTTGAAGCCAATCTAAGGACATCTAATTATGATTAAATTATGATTAAATGATTATTGAACATGTACTAATTTTTGATGATGTTCAAGTTTTGATTGTGTAACAAATAAAATAACCCCATTTATCACAATAGAATTGAAAGTTGTTTCAAACTCTTTAAAATCTAAAGTAATATCAGTGGCAGAATGATGAAAATGAAAGAATAAATATATCTAGTATCAAAAAAATATATATTGGACTGACAATGAATAAATATTTGATATGAAAATACATGTTTCCAAAAAGATAATAATAACAGATCATTTTTGTCAATAATTTCAATCTACTACACAGCCAATTATTTACTGAACAAATTTCAATTACGAAAAGCGACAGACATTGTTGGTAAGACATTTACATCTACGAGATTCTTCATAAATTAAAATATTTTCAACATATGAATGATAAATTCTACATACAAAATAATCTGGATTCAAACCATCCAGTTTTGTTCAAATTTCAACATACCTACTAATTAAAATTAGTGGGGGTTTGTAATTGTCCTTCGAAAAATAATTCTGCATTGAAATCATCACTAAATATCAACTACATATGTTTAGAGAGCAAATAAGAATATCTGGTCATGTTACGAAGTTTAAAAATTATAATTTTATTCACAAACTACATGAGAAGTACTGTCCATGACATTATTTTGAGCGGGTACAGAGGCTATTATGAGGTTTTCTTTTGTAATGCTCAACAAAACTATAGTTTTATCATGAATAATTATCCTCAATTCAGATTATGACTGAATACCAGAGATACACATAACAAAGTTGTGCAGTTGGGAACATCAAATACAATATGTCAAGGTATCACGAAATTATTATTTCTAAAAATATTCACAGTCAAACATAAATCATTTCGGTTAAATCTCGAATCATAAGGCAAAAAGCAGTTCATACCCTCCACAAAAAATAGTTGCTGCTTGGTAAAAATGTTGATGTTAGTGTTGGGCATATAAGGTAAAAAATGAGAGTTGGTGTGACATTGCTTAATTCATTTATGTTGATAATTTGTACTGGAACCACTGGCATAAAAATAATCTATTGGAAACACTTTCCCAACACCAGAACAAAAATCAAGGTCTCCCGACACAAGCATTTTGATCAGTAGTATTTATATTAGTTAAAAGATTTTGTCTAGCAAAATTTCATAACATTTTTTGTAAAAATAACTCCTATCAAGTTAACTTATCTTAACATTCGACTTCATTCAATGTCAATTTTTTCATAGATTCATTCTTTCTTAATATGACTAATAATTCCACATGATAGTAGTTTTGAAACCAGTGTGATTTTTCAGATAACTTGACTGGATAAATTGGTTTAGGCAATTCAGATCTTTTTTTTTCTAATTATATGAAACTGCTCATTAGCGCAAAAATATAGGCAAAAAGTTAATCAAAGCAAAACATATACGGAAATTCATTATTTCGAAAAACACGTTTATAATAAAAAAACATTGAAACTGAAACATACAAATCAGGTTACACTTCGCATATGTAAAAAATACTAAATATGTACATACATACCAACAAAAAGAATCTGAAATAATATATTAGTAAGAACAGGTTATGTTTGAGAAAATTATCGGAGAAGTAAACTGACTACATTTCTAATGATATTCGATTTATTTTCAAGTGAGCGTTAAATAATTGTCTTTGAAGAAATGCCACATCCTTGTGTTTGAAAAAAATTCTATCAAAGATTTCTTGTTTCCACAAAATCTTTGAAAAAAAATATGATTGTGTTTCCATCATGTAACAAGAAAGTCATTAAACAGTGCACTTGACCACCCCCTTATGACAATATCATCTATGTTTTCAACAGATGGTTAAAGGAAAAACAGATTTTAACAGATTTTTTCAATAGAAAACGCAAAATTTTTTATTGAACTTTCTGGGAATATCATTTTCTACAATCTGAAAACATTTGAAACTGTAACGGGGAACTTTATATAGATATAGAAAGGGCAAACTTTTGATTTATCCAGATGAGTCAATGCGTAAATTCAATGTATTTTTCACAAAAGAAAATACGCTATTCATCAGTAACTTGTCGTATTTGATAATTTTTGCCATCCAAAAAAGAACTAGGAAAATTGTACAGATACTTATCTTAACATTTCGAAAGCCAAAATCTCCCTCCATCTTCAGAATTGGAAGAATCAAATATAAGGTGCAGTTTTTCTTTCCTTCTGCTTACTGTTATCGAGCAATCAGCCCTTGTAAAATATTTGATCTGAATGTAAAAATGTTTTATCATGACCTCATCATACTAAAAGTAACTTGAATAAGTACGAGAAAACTACAATAACCATTATTTCAGTTGATTTATAGTATAACATTAGGTACCACACAAAAAACTAAGAGGTGATTCAATAAGATCAGTTGAACAAAAAATTCGCTAAGTAAAACAGAATGCATTCAAATAATTCCTCATTTCCGTAAACCCACTAATTTATATGGTTTACCAAAATGGGTAAGCCTCATTAAGACTCATTGTAATTTCAGTTGGTTCTCTTCATCAAAAATCCAAAAAAATCCACAAAGAGCAGGTCTGCTCGAATGGTTGAAATATTTAGACTCATTTAGGAGAGAAGAAACGTTCAACATAAATGAAAAACAAATGTATTTTCCTTCAGAAAAAATAAATGTTGATGAATGATAGTTTTTTCCATTAGAAAAATCGAAAGCTCATGGAAAGTCTCTACGGTAAAGTATAAACGAATTTTCAATATCTTTGTCAATAAATAAGTTACAGTGAAAATATTTTTTTTAATCGGCAGAGCAATATACCATGTTCCGTCCCAAAGCAGAGATAATACTGTCTTCTTTAGTGAAATTCACGTTGAGAGAGAGAGAGAGAGAGAGAGAGAGAGAGAGTATTTTTGTCTCGGTGTGGAAAAAGTAGTTTCAATAGATTCATTTTACGTCAGAGGTTCCAATACAACCTATCAAGGTACGGTATTTTATTTGTGAATGCTGGTGCAAATTATAAATCATCTAAAGTTTTGTTGCTGTGTACTATGTCAATAATTTAACTGTTACTGAAGGAAAACACAATATTAGTGATATATTTCAGTTTCCAAAGATATATAGAATGAAATCGCTAATTGAAAAAAAAATCTGTTTTAAAATCTGTTTTTCTGTTAACCAGCTGTCGCACCCCTACGAACGACAACCAATACCAGTATTAAAAAGTTTTTTGAACTCCGTTTACAAAAAATATTATAAATACATTAATCAGGACTCAGAGTGATGGGCGAACTATAATTTTTATCTAAATTTCAAGACACTGGTGGAAAGATGAAAACAAATATTATTAACAATAATATATAGCCAAACAAGTGGTAATTTTAGGTATTGAGCAATCGGAACTCATAAAAGTGTTCAGAACGTACAACAAAGAAAAATATAAGGACATATACAAAAAAATATTGCTGTGAAAGAGAGAAAGTAGAAACAAGTTTGAGCTTAACATTACCAGCAAGAGCAAAATTACCATATGATTGAATCCTATTTCCCATAAATATAACTGCAGAAAATCAAACATAATTAGTCAATTTGTATGTAGACTTTTTCACTGAACTGAAACAGATCCTAAGTATTTTTGAATTTCCATATCTACCTGACCTTAGCATTGCACACCTCACATATGTTTTTTATCAAAAGAATATCATACATACAGCCTTGAAATGCTATCAGTTCCGGACTTTTTGCTATTGTGTGATATTTACAATAACCGATAACATTATGTACTATCTCATCGATTCCGGTAGAGAGAAAAAGCATTTTTCAACAATTTGATAAAAAGTTCGTTTTCCTATTGTTGTACTAACTAACTGTATACTTTTGAATAAGTGATCCGATGATATGTCATCGGGCAGGTGGGTTAGGAACTGAGCTCCATGTAAAAAATCCATCTCCATCAGATCGTCTTGGTGCAAATGTAGAATACCTAAAATATATAATTACTAGGTCCAGTACTTCTCTTTTCATGTATTCCAATTTTGTTTGAAATGCTTCAAAACCACTTAGATAGATTTACGTCAAATATTGCTAACAATCAATCTTTCGAAAAAACAAAGTAAAAAATTTAAACAAAATGCAATGAACAATTTCACACAGACACACTGCATTGAATGTACATTTTGAACAGAATATTATTCAAAACACTGGCACAAAATCCAAATTAGAAAATTTCCTTCAAAGTAGATGATGAAATCAGTGTATCACAATCAATCCATAAAACTCTGGACACCTACTGAATGAATGAAGTTTCTGAGCAGCATTTTTCATAAGCAAATTTGACTGTTTTTTCAATATTAAACTCAAATTCCTGCAGAGTCTGGTATTTTCCATCAATTATCTAGAGTTTCTCATCAGAAACTTGCTGAACCTCATTTCTACTTGGTTTAGTACATCTCAACTTACCAACCAAAAGCATTAATTGGCCTCAATTCTGCATTTCCGAAAAAAATCTGTATTTTTCTTATTTTTGTATAAGTTATTCCTTGCCTTTCTTTTCTTAGAGCGATTTAGGATAAGTCTCTTCACCAGTAATTCACAGCTTTCTTAACTATGTTTTTTTTTTTATCTTCTTCTTATTACCTTCATTGTGTTCAAAAACCTCACACATGCTTTTCATTTAACAAATCATATACAGTTTTTGAAATACTTGCTATAGTTTTCATGGCATTTTTGTTGTTGGGCAAGATGTAACCTTCAAATCATTATATATCAATTTAATGAGAGTGTAAGTCATTATATTACGAATATTTAATACCGTTTTACTGGCATTAAGTCATTAACTTTTTTTGGTCCATGTAATTACTCTTTTGTGGACAGTTTCAGTTGTTTCTGTAAGTACTATTCAACTGTTTGATTTCATCTGAAGGTGCAAATCACATGTATCATCAGAAGGCCATGAATAACTCATTAAATCGTTATAAGTGGTCCAAGTATGGATCCCTGAGGAACAGCATGTATCATTGTTATTAATCAACTCTACACATCTTGAACAATATTCTATTTTCTAGATATGACTATCAAATCATGAATTTAATATTATTTTCCCAGCAGTAGATTATATAATCTATTTTTTAATTATAGAGATCTAGTAATTCACGATCAATAAAAGAGTTAGTCTATAACAACATTAAAATATGTGAGTGTATGAAAATTCATGGAAATGTACAAAAATATATACTTTTTATCATTTTCCACTTTTTTCCATTCATATTTTTACTATTGAAATGAAAAATGGGAAAACGGTTAAGGCTTTCGTGGCCGAGGTTTTCAGTGTCAATATTTTCCGTGTTTGAAGGCCGTGGATTTTTGAAATTTCCTCCTGACGTTTCGCTGGCGCGAGTGGCTAGCTTTCTCAGAGGTTTATTTATACATCCCGAATTAATATATCCGATGACAGGATATTACGAAATATGGAACTCATTGCCCCCGAACAGGGATACCATAGCCAACTGATACAGGGGGCAATAGAAATCCACAAGGAGACGGACAATTTCATCAAAAAAGAAAAAGCTGTGAACCTAGTTTGTATGGTTCCGTGTTGGATGTTTGTCATATTCTTCTGGACGTAATTTTGTAAGTCCATATATTGCCTGCCTCCTGTGATTCAGTGCCTCACATTCGCATAAGTGGTGTAGAGCTGTTTCTATCCCTTCATTGCATAATCTGCAGCTGAGGTCTCCGTTGTACAGCCCCATTTCATTCAGGTGTCCTCTAAGCGGACAATGACCGATTAGTAACCCTGTAATTATTCTGAGCCGATCCCTACTGTATTGAAGTAGTTCTTCAGTTCTTTTCTCGGACGGTTCCCTAATGTGTTTGTTGCCAGGTACTGTTGTCCAGTACTCTGTGTGCTTCTTATTGGTCTATGTCCTAATCTGGTTTCGTTCCAATGATTTTGGTACCCCCAGAGCTGGTTCAGGACCTATATATGAAGTTGATGATCCGCGCATTCATCAGCTTTATCATTACCTGTGATTCCTGAATGCCCTGGCACCCAGTACGAAGTTAATTTGTTCCTGTTTGCAAGTTAATTTGCATGTCACCTTCGGGTTTGTCAGAGCCCCTAGTGCGCTCTTGCTGTCTGTTAAAATATTGATTCGCTCATTTCTTTGAGGTCTCAATTTAATAAGCCTTGTACACTGCAAGATAGCATGCACTTCCGCCTGAAAGATGGATGTGTATAGTCCTAGCGGATAACTGTAGTTTAAATTTCTATCCGCTCGGTATATTCCAGCTCCCGATTCATGTTTGGTTTTCGATCCATCTGTATACCAGGTGTTTTTTCCAAACATGTTTTAAGAATGACTAATGGTCTTCCACTCTTCACGGCTTATGATTTTGGCCGTGAAGTTTGTGTTAAAGGTGTACTTCGATGTCATGTGGTCCGTGCACATATTCAATATGTGCTCCTCCACATATTCCGAAATTTCTGTTCGGTCCGATCTTTTGTAGTTCGGTGAATTTTCCAGTCTGAATTGGCCCATCCTGGTCTCCCCCATTATCACAAAGTGTAAAGGAGGTAGATTCAAGAGTGTCTCCAATGCAGCTGTTGGGGTAGTTCTCATTGATCACGTCATTCCCAAACATGCAAGTCTTTGCACCTTGCCTAGTTTGTTGATAGCGGTCGCCTGCTTCATCTTTGGCCACCAGACCAGAAATGCGTATGTTATCATGGGTTTAACCACCATCATGTTTAGCCAATATACCATGTCTGGTTTTAGCTCCCATGTTTTTCCATAGGTGCGTCTGGCGAGCATCAGTGCTACCTCCGCTTTCCTCTTTATCCTGTCCAAGTGTTGGTTCCAGGTCAGTTTGGAATCTAGAATTACTCCCGGATATTTAGCCTCCCCTGACACTTGTATTTCTTCACTGTGAACCTCAATCGAATATGGAATCCCATTCTATGGAGTTCAAGAATAGCAAACAGCATGACGGCAGGTAGAAAAGGGTCAACGTATGTTATTGAAAATTTACCAAATCCAGAAACAAGTATTATTTTACCAGACTACCTGTATCAACATAAATAGGCTTTACGTATTTTACCCAGGTACATGTATTAGCACACAAACTACCTGTGGAGTCAACATAAGTACGCGTTACTCAGCCGTATAATCCAATCGTCGGAGATTTCAACTCAGGATGTATAAACCTCTGAGAAACCTAGCCACACGTGTCAGCGAAACTCCGGGAAGATATTACAACAATCCACGGCCTTCATACCCAAAAAATAGTGACACTGAAATGAAAAATGTTCAATAGAAATATTATTCTGAAACGAACTAAAACAAACTAAACTAGTTTTCCTAAATGCAGATGGAAGATATTGACTCACCTAAAGCTGTTCGAAATATGAACTCATATCCATCCCTGAGAAAAACGTCCCAAACTCTGCACGCAATATCTAACGGCATCGCTTTGGCAAAAATCGTATAAATCCAATCCAACAGATACAGGTCCGGCGTCAGTCCTGATCTCTCGAAATGTGAGTATAGTTTTGGAAGATTATAACTAAATACCTGATTATAAGCACTATAATAAGCTTGCATTTGTTCCTGATTGAGAGTGAATGCCGACAAGTGTAACGGTTGATTCAGTAAATTGGCAAAACAAATAAAAGCATCGAAAGGCTCCATGTTCAATATCAAAATGGCAGCTATGTAGGACATACCCTGAACGTAACCCACATCCGGACGATAACATACATATGCTGCAAGTAAGGAATGTAAAGTATCCGAATAAGGGCCTCCCTCTTGAAAAATACACAAATGGGGAAACGTTCTTGAAATATCTAACTGGATAACATCCATACTACTTTCTTGATCGATTTCTGGATTACATGGAGGCGGTTCTGGACTGTTGAGTCTGTTTTGAGCACGGGAAAGGCAAATTTCGTAGAGCTGTTGAGTGAGATTCAAATCATTACCTATGGCTAATTTCCATACTTTTCCCCGTACACTGGACGGAAGGCCTTGCCACCATAATTCGATAGTTTTTCTGTTTGAACGCCTGAAAAACGAATGAATACATTTCAATAAATAGTAGACCCAATGGAAAAGAAGAATTAAACTCGTGTCGTGAAATCAAAGCACCCACACATATGTATAATTAGAAAAGATTAATTTTGGGAAAGAAGACCAAAACTTTGTTGTGTCTTTCACCAACCAAATTGGCTTCATCCGAAGATGAACTATACTAATTTCTAAACTCCAACTCAACCTATTCATATCTAGTAGACTAAACCTCCAATTTTCCAGGAAAATTCCCGATAATTTTACGAGAGAGTCCCTCAAAACAGTAAATAATNTGGTAATCGAAACACGTGTCGAGGTGTAAAAATAACGATTTGGTGTGGGGAAAAAACTCCAGTAATATTTATTTAATCTATAAAGATGATTAAAAAAAACTACAAATGAGGCTAGAAACAACATGTACCGGAAGGGTACTGTTGATCTTAGTTCTAGCCTGGAAGAAAAGAAAACTAAACGAGAGAAAAAAACAAAGAAAAAAGAAGATATAAAAAAAGAGGAAGGAGAGAGAGGGAAGAGAGAGAGAGAAAACATGTTGAATTTATTACCGAAAATTTTTCAGAAGTATAAAATCTATGAAATCAATGGCTTTATGATTGAGCAGCGATGAGATATTTTTTGTAACAGCACTTAAATGAAGAAACTTTACTAACTTTATATACATATAGAATTCATATATAACGACTATCCGTTTACAGCGACGATAATGTTTACTCAAGTTTAGTTTCACATTTAGTTATTGCGAAAATATACCGTTTAGTGCGACTCAGGTTTAAGCGACCAATCACTTATAGCATCCGTTTTTTATGATACTACATCCGGTTAAAACGTCGCGCAATGTTTTGTTTACACAATCTGCGCACCAATACCTCGGCGCACTCCCTCTTCTTAGGAAAGTTTATTGATAGGTACTACTAACAGGTAGTATTCTTAGGAACATCTATTGATAGGTACTACCAACAGATATTAATAGACTGATTTTACGCCAGAGGCTCCAGTATGAAGTCTTTGTCACTTGTTGTAAGTCCATAAAGTTCGACAAAATGAATTCTGTGAAGCAAAAGTGTTTTGCAATTGAAGAAAAAATTGCAATATTATACCGATTAGAAGCCGATAAATCAAATACAGAACTTGCAAAGGAGTTTGGCGTATCCCATTCTACAATATCCACAATTAAAAAGAATTAAAATAAAATCTAGTCGCTGTTCAATGCCAATGTTTTAAAATGCAAACGTGTAAGGACTTCTACTCATGAGCAGTTGGATAAGGCATTGTTACAGTGGTTCAAGCTTCAGCGCGACCGGAAAATACCCCTTAATGGACCTCTGCTACAAGAGCACATCCCCATATTACAGACTTGAAAAGCATAACGCTGGTGTTTTTGCCTCCAAACACGACATCAGTGTTGTATCCCATGGACCAAGGGATTATTCAAGTTTTGAAATCCGGCGCAACGTTTTGTCTTTATTGTTCTGCTCAAAACTCATATTCCTATATAGATAATTTTTGTTATAAACATTATTTTATTTATATAAGAATATATACCTTTGATTGGATACGCTCTACTTCACACAAAATGAATTACATTGAAAAATATATGTACATCAGATTTGTTACTTCATAGGTGACGTCGGTCTGACAGTCCGAAAACAATTACAACTGGCTTCTTACTACCACTAACGCGTTCTGGTTTACAGTGCGTGAAGAGACCCGAAAAAGGTTAAGCTAGAAGGAAGCAGTAGGGGTAACATCGCGCGATGTCGCCAAAATTAAAAAACGCATTACTGGGTGGTCTGAGAGACCGCAGGTCACCACTGCAGGGTTAATATCCCTGAACTTGTTGGTTGGTATATATAATAATAATAATAATAATAATAATATTTATTTGTGGTTTCATATAAATACAATAAATATACAATCTATAAAAATGNTTTTAAAATGCAAACGTGTAAGGACTTCTACTCATGAGCAGTTGGATAAGGCATTGTTACAGTGGTTCAAGCTTCAGCGCGACCGGAAAATACCCCTTAATGGACCTCTGCTACAAGAGCACATCCCCATATTACAGACTTGAAAAGCATAACGCTGGTGTTTTTGCCTCCAAACACGACATCAGTGTTGTATCCCATGGACCAAGGGATTATTCAAGTTTTGAAATCACAATTTCGTAAAAACGCCAACGACGCGAATAACAAAGATAATGACGGTGACGATGACGCACCAGAGGAGATTTATCCAACCTTGAGTGTGTCTGAAGCTCCGAAGGCTGCAGAATCGCTCAATGTGTTTGTTCAGACTAACTTGGATAATAATGTTATGAAAACAATGATATCGCGAGTTCATAATGCTGTACGAAATTCTTACTACCATACAAAAGTTTGTCAAAAACAAACTCAAATAACAGACTATGTACATATATTTGTACATTAGAACTATTAAAATGAAGCATGTGATTTCTATAAAATGTTTTATTCACCTATCGATCAGCAATCTGAACAGCTAAATGAGGTACAGAAATTCAGAAGTGTATCTCAAGGTTATCTATGTACTTATTCATTTTTCAGTTCATTTATAAATTATGTTTATTGAAGCACTTTTATATAATTTTACTTTTTGTATATTTCATTATGAATAAACTTGTTATTATTATATGATAACTAGAATCATGTTCGAATTAGATCATTATCATCTTATCGGTGACAAAATCATAAATGCAAGTATATTGGGCTACAACTGAAGTTTCCAGTCAAAGTACCTATTAATTAAACTTACATTGCGTCCCAATTTGGAAGAACAGATTGAGTGAAATGTTTTGTAGCCGCTGCTAGCTGTTCTTCCAACTTCAGTTGAAGTTTTCGTTGTTTGTGTCTAGCAGCTGATGATTGAGCATCTTTCTTTTTGGCTGCTGCAAGTATTGCCTTATATTCGTCCCTGTGCTTCTGTTCCTCTTCAACGGATTTTGCTGGCAGATTGGAAGGTCTAAAAATTCCATTAATAGATTTCTTTGAAAAATCACTGATGAAAACTACCTTTCATTTTGAATTAGAGCAGAAGAACTTGCAACTACATTAACTGGTGAGGATGGGAGACTCTGGATTGACTGTTTATTGAATATATTCCAAACATTGCTACTGAAATGTGCTGGTTCATTCGAGGATCCTTTCCAAGAAAATACATGCCTGAAAATAACAAAATACCACCAAAATATACACAATACATTCAAAATAAAAATGTCCGTTTACACAATATATTATTTTGTATTACTTTTACTTCAGTTATACTAGTAAATTTGGAATATTCAAACGTTAATGAGGTAATCGGATAGTCAAGGTGCAAGATTCCCACCTTGATACCCGCGACAACCTTCCCATATGAGGGTTTTTGCACGTCAGCTACACCTGACGATGCCTTAGATTCAACCATGTAGGGCTTTTTCGCCTCTGCTTTTGGTAAATCATCGCTTGAGCGCAAACGTTTGTTAATCTGCTCGTGGGAGGTTTGCTCCTCTACCTGAGACAGATTATGCGTACGCCGCTCAAGGATTTGGTGCAAGGCGGTTTTATGAAGTACCCCGCCCTTGAGGAGATGACTCAGTCATTTCCTGGCTGCACCACCAAACTTTTTTTTTAGGTTCAGTTATTGGATCAGGAGTTGGGGAGTTGAGAAGCTCTCGCTGCTTATCACAGAAATACTGCCGGTCAAAATGGTAACATTGGTATTTGATGTGTGACTGAATAATATATCAGCTGATAATTAGGGAAGCAACAGGTACAATGGAGAATACCCGAGCAATTTTAAATTCATTAGCTTGGCTTAGTCTGCGCCTCGAAAATTTTGAGAAAACATTCGATAGAGAAGAATATCATGAATTTTCTAAGTTTAAATAACTCTGTGAATATACTATAATTCCAAAATAGTAGGCACTAAATTCTCAGAAATGACTGACGTTTTTGCCTTAATCTGTCTCTTGCAGTGGCGTACGGAAATTATACCAAACAGATGGGGAAAAATGATAAAATATATAGAATCACAACCTTGACAACAATGTTTTTGTTTTATCACAATCTTTCTGAGAATCTAGTGCCTACTATTATGCCATTGTACTATAGTTGGTTAATTTTCTTATCACTGTCAAAACATATATTATAATAAATAGAATTTCAAGCTACCACCTTTTTCCTTTTTTAAATACAATCATTTTCATCTGTTCAAAAATACCTACTGAAAAAATGGAGGCAGGTGCATGGTCTGAAAAGCTGAAATTATCAAAATCTAAACTAAAGGAAGATGACATCAACAATTATCGCAATATTTGTTTTCAAATCCATTCAGAGAAATCATTAATTATCATTTCAATTTGGAGCTTAGTATCTTCCTAGAACATTTTGATCTCTTCACTGAAAAATATGAATACACCGACCCATTGATTGATGGAAGAATGATAACCCTCCCCATGATAATAATTATACAATTTTCGCAATAAATTTTATTTGATACGCGTTTCGCTGGACAGTAGCTTCATCAGTTGGACAGATATTGTGAAAATTGAATTATTATTAACATGAATCTCTTCACTGAGGGTCTAAATGAATTTAAATCAAGGAAATCAACTGAAACTACTCTTAAAGAGTAATTTTGTTTCATCTATAAAGAATCAAACAATTCAACATTTCTCATTTACTGAATTATTTAGATGGAAAATAATAAATGTTTCAAATATACCTCGAAGTTGAATCCTGGGACCATAATTGGTTCTTATTTTCATTAATGATATGACTTTTTTGTGCCCATCCTCACAAAACCCAAGAGATAGCAAGCATAGAGAAATTAGAAAACATAAGAGATATAGAGTCTGTTAAATGACGTTTTAAAATTAAATATAATTTATTGGTGGTATCTCGGAGAAGAAATTTTGGAATGAAATGAAATTGGCAAATTTCAGTCATTTTCAATATGGAACCAATTGAAATTTCCAATTGGAATTTCAAAACGTAATTTAAATATGGTCTAAAATGGGCAGCTTTTCCTAAGTTAATTGACTTTGTATCTCTCTCAATTACTGATTTCCCATGCTGGCACAGGTGAAGCAAATCAGCTTAACACTTACAAATCATCACACCACATCAAAAGGAAAAAAAAAACTGTGCAGAGTTTCAATGAAGTACAAATGATGGTTTAATACATAATACTTTAAAATCATTTATTATATTGTTTCAGCAGAAGAATAATGACTTTAACAGAATGTAATTTCAAAAACTACACCTCACGATTTAATCTCCACAAACCTTATTTGAAAAATATATCACAACATGTTTCACTAGCACATTCTTCATTAGCTTTATCAAGTGATTTGAATACTCAAATCACTTGATGAAGCTACTGTGCTAGCAAAACATGTGATATATTTTTCAAATTTGAATATTCAAATCACTTGATAAAGCTAATGAATAATGTGCTAGTGAAACATGTGATATATTTTTCAAATAAGGTTTGTGGAGATCAAATCGTGAGGTGTACTTTTTGAAATTACTATGGATCTTCATGAAGTAACGGCCGAATCAATCAGAAAATTTAACTCAATGACTGAAATGACTTGAAAATGCCAATACTACCTAGTGACTTTCCTGCTGCATTTACTGTTCATTCACAAAAAGTTCATGTTATATTGTATAAAAGATATTAATCCTTATACATCTCTTAGCCAATTTTTCATAAGCTCGTCACATTACCTTCATATTTGATAAGGTGTATTTGGAATATTCCAAAAACAATAAATTTCACAATTCACTGGAAGAGGTGACAACTTGAATGCATGATTTTCAAGATTAGAAACTGCACAGAATTGTCATCATCAAGAAACCCTCCATTATAATAATTTGAATAATGTATTTAGAGAGATCAACAATTTTACAGTTTTCATGAAGATAATTGGCAAATACATACTACTTAGCAACTTTCCAGCAATCCAAATTACATAACGTTTGCAATGTTACATACTGTTTGTTTCATGTACATTTCATACTGGGCATTTTAATTGAAATTTGTATTGAAACAATCCTATAGAATGATTGAAAATTGAATGAATGCATATTGTATGTATTTTTTAGAGAGAATGAATCTTGACTGCTACGTATATTTGTATATAACTTTAATGATGAAAAATAAAGAATCTATTGTTCCTATCTTACTTTGAAAAAAAATTAGTTATACTCTTTTTCCTTGGCTTCGAGCTGGGAATATCAAAGCTAGAGAGTGACTGATCATCAGAACCCAAAAGGCTGCCAGAGGTTGATGGATCGCTGATTCCACTCAAAGTTGAAACAGTGCTCGAAAATGATCCAGCCTCAATTCTTCTATGTCCCAGTTTCTTTCCAACAATGGTATTTTCACTATCCTCATTTTTGCATTCTTCATTCCTGCATTCATCTTTCTCACTTACAGGAAGGCCGATATCCACGATTTCAGATTTTTCAACTACATGTAATTGCTTTGTAACAGGGCTATAGGCTAGCGATATGTTTTGCAGTGCTTCATTAAATGTAAACTTATTCTTAACATTCTTATTGCCGATACCATCATAAGGATTTGCTTGATTATGAACTGGGCTAGAATTACAACTTTTCAGTTTATCGTACCGTTCTGGCCAAGTTCTAAACCACGATTCACTTGAGATAGAGTTGGGAGTATTGTCCTGGATAAGCTTGTCAGACTTATTGTCTATTGTATTATCGTAGTAATTCTCATGGTTGACTGTGTTAACACAAGCTGGTAAGCTGTAACTTGGACTGTCATGGTTGTTGCTGTATGTGGGAAGGTTTTCATAACCATATCCTTTTTGTCCCATTGAAAATTTGAACCCATTATTGTTTCTGATCAGCACTTCTTCATTTCCTGAACAATTTTGACCTCTTTTATCAATTAAAACATCAGTGGATCGTCCGTTATCTCTTAAATGCTCATCAGAATCAAAATTTTTCATTTCTCATCAGATCAAAAGTCCTAAAATGTATGGTTGCAGAAATATTATCGTAAAATGCCAGCGACAATTTCAGCATGGAGAAATTGATTAAAATAATTACAACAATGGGCACTCCATTTCTATTTTCTATCACTTCAGTGTTTTGACGTTTCAGTATTCGTTGTCAATCAAGTCAACTTGACATGACAGTGACATTGACAGCCTAAAGTCGCATTCGTTTTGTCTACCAGAACGCTAGAGGAGTGACGAAATGAACTTAATACGTTTCTCCGGGCAAAAACTGTAGTATTCGTTTTGGGTCGGCATTCGCCTCGGATTATTTGTCTTTTAGTTGAACACTCACAGTAATAAAAAATATATTCATATTATTACTCTGAGGTTAAACACGGTGAGTAATGACCACAGAATATAAAACATATTTTCGATTAGCATTGTTTTATAAATCAGTTTGCTTTTATCAGGACCAAAACATGTTTGCATTCGAAAATATTAAGTATATGTATGTAATTCAATTATGAACTCTTACAAATGAAGGAGGAATTATGATTTTCAATTATAATTCAACCAAGTTATAGTTCAACCATAACAATCAACGATAGCGTTTATGGAAACTTTCAAGTAATAGGACAAATTGAAATATTCACGGCTGTCATCGACAGCAATTTCGAAAAGGATTGTTTCAAATTTGAATTGAAAAAAATGAGTGAGAAAGTATGGAATATTTTTTGCTAACATGGAATTATTTTCACGAGTGTAGTAGAATATCAAATGCAGAATAATTGTGATTATCAACATCTGCATTAACGACATACTATTCTTAAGTATGAGTTGTTCACGTTAAGAAGAAAATGACGTCACAAGATGACAAGTTACGGCGTTGCCAACATGTGCACTATTTCGAACTTTCAAATTTTTTTGTACTGTTGATATATTTTATTGCTATTATCCTTACTTACTTTTATTACTTGTTGGGACTATTTCGACAATGCTTTAGGCATATTGAATATACGCAGGTCTTATCAAAAGAAATGATTAGTTCTGAACAGAAAAGAAAGACTGACAGTTTTCGAGTTTTTTTCGATTCGGCAACGTCTGAAATTTTACTATCAGTTGAGCAACTTACAAAATGAAATGTTACTAGTTTCATTGCTGTTGAATGAATTTCAGTGGGAAGTTTAACGTTGTTATGTTGGATATACAAAATTACCAAAAATGACGTCATTCTCTTCTTAACATGAACAGCATATAGGTAGTCTTAGTTTCTCATTATTAGTTTTCTGATTAATTCGGCCATTACTTGATGGAGATACATGCAGAGGTTCTCACTTATTTTATCTACCGCCCACTTCGAGAATTAATTATTTTCTAGCGCCCCCCATTTTTTACTCTACTACATCTTAAGAATCACAATCGCAGTCATTATTTTAATAATTAAATTATGTGTTTCATGTGAAAATGAGACTTTCTGATGAGGGTAATGTAAAACACCATTTTGTAATATAAGGAAAACTTTTATTCATGTTATTAAAACAAGCATTTCAATTTGAATTTTAAAAATAATCTAATGTGAAGGATGAATTTGAGGATTTTTAACAAGTTGATGAATTTGAGAATTTTCAACAAGTTTGTTGATATCAGGCTCGAATTTACTCAAAATCACCTTGAAACTTACCGCTATCTATTGTACAGTTTGAAAACTATCGGACAACAAATAGTTACTGTCTAGTCCCCTAGATGGTGTTACAAGAAGAAACGCGCGTTAAACGAAAAGGCATTTAAAGGAGCGGTCCCCCTAAACAGCTTCAACGTCCCCCAATCTCTGTGCCCTTTACTGCTCTCCTATAGGCCTCCAGTACCCACAAGGGGGCGTTATGGCTCACTTTGAGAAAGACTAATCCATAGTAATTTCGTAAACTACACCATACGATTTGATCTCCATAAACTTTATTTGAGAAATGTATCACAAATAAAGTTTGTGGAGATCAAATCGTGAGGTTGTAGTTTATGAAATCTATCAGGTTAAAAATTTTTTATTGTGAATTTGCGAGAGTTATGTATTTGGTTAGATTATTTTTCATGAGAAACTGATGAATAGGTAGGTAAAATAAATTACTTTCACTCATGGGAAGCACACAAAACAATATATGGAAACAACAGACGTGCATTTTGTTTTGCCACATAGCTTAGTCATTGTCTATTTAAATCTTTAGACAATGGCTTAGTTCTAAGATAGACATCATATCTGAACAGTAAAACTTCTCGATTATACCGACATGAGAAGAAGGCACTACGAATTTTATGACTACCCAAATTGCACTTTTTTGTTTAGAGAATAATGTGCATATATTCGAAAGATTGCTTCAAGGACACTCAACAAGTTTTATGTAATAAAAGTACTGCAGTGTTTTCCAAAATGCGTAAAGTTCTTCATACTGTGATTTCTAGGGTGAATTTGAACAATGAAATTGGTTAGGAACTGGCAAAAGCCGTTACTACACTACCTTGTATGTGCTATTGATCGTTAGAATGTTAGCTGATTATTCCAAAATTGACTTCTGTTGAACTGGTTAGGACTTTTGTAAGTTTAGTGTAGCAGGAATATATATGTTGCGATTATTTCAAAGGATAGTTCCCAAATCCCTGGATTAACTTTACATGAAATAGGGAAACCAATTTATTTTAGAGCCTTTAATTGATTCATGTTTTTATGTAATGAGGAAACAATCCTAAAATCCACGTCAGTATAATTTTAATGCTACCTAGAGAAAAGTTGACTGGAGCCCAAAAGCTGGACAAAGCAAATGTGATGTGTGTACCATTTGATATTCATTTCATTTATTTTTATGAACGACTGAGAAAAGGGGGGTTTGTATTTTGAACAGAATGTATTTCTTATTTTCTATTGAAATCAAATCATAGATTAGATGTCCAATTCCACAAAATTTGCTTTATTGAAATAGGATTGGGTTATCATAGGATTGGTAAATTTTTTCATTTACATAAAGGAAACTAAAGGAAACAAATTACATTTTATTTTTTCAAAAATACAAAAATATGCTAGAATCCCATTTCAAATTCAACTTTCTAATACAATAATGCAACTTCAACTGTTTTCACTCTTGGAAGTTAGTTATTCCTGGCATCTTTCGTTTCAAAAAGTTACTGCCTAATATAAACCACTGAAAAGCTCATTAGTCAGTTAATTATCGTATTCATACTTTTGCCTACAGATTAAAATATCTTCAGTTAGATGATTGACCTTTTAGAAAATATTCCTTTTCAGTTATCAAAAACTAAAAGTCACCGATGAATTGAAAATATTATTTTTTTGATACTCCTTAGAACAATATGTCTATATTCAGCTGTTCAACTTGAGGCATTTCATTCACAAGTAACCAAATTAGTTACCAACTGTAATCTTCAGTGATTTATACTATGCAGTAACTTTTCGAGGTGAACTTTTCAGTTTGCCCTTTTTTATTACGCTTCAGCAGATTAAATTATAGAAGGTTAAACATCCAAAAAAAGAACAAGAAATATTGACTACTCCACATGATATGACTTTGAAAGAACTACTTTTCATACCTTAAATATTATCAATGCAGGCAAGTCTGTTTCAGTAGACTGAGCTGAGCTTTGTTTGTCCAGTTAAAATTTTACATTCTGCTAGATGGTCTCCCAAACGAAATATCTTCAAATAGAATTCAATAATTTAGAGATGGTCGGTCGATCAATTCAGCTGAAAAAATACATATCAAAATTACTACATTCAAATTATTACAAGCATGCATTTAATTTCTAGCAACATTTCAGAGAGGGCAAGTTGTAATCAAAAATGTAAACACCTCATAATAGCGTATATGTTTATACTCATCATAAGTCAAGGATGAATTGACAAAATAAAATATTTCAATGAAAACTTGGTACTTAATACTCACCATTCAATTTAATAGGCGGTGTAGGATTGTGCGTGCATCCCAAACTGAAAATAAAATACAGAGTGAAAGCAAAAATTCTCAAAAATTTGCTTAAAATTTTTTATTCAAAAATTTAAAATTATCAGGAGTTACGTTATCATCAAATTATACGTATGACAGGGATAACTTTGTCATCATGAACTAATTGTTAATTGAGAAGTTACGAGATGCACCAAATTCTCCTAAAAATGCTTTGAAAAATACAACCTGATCAAAATGTATGGCAATTTTATTATTGGAGAAACGAAATTGTTCAAACTGCCCAAACAAGAACCAGTTTTCACATTCATTTCCTAATGGGAAACCCTGTTTGTTGTTTTAGGCAGGAAATGGTATTTCAATTATATAAATGAAACTCAAAAATGGAAAATATAAACAGCAGCTACATAAGATAATCGATACTATTTACAAATACAGAGTGGCCAACTCAGAAAAAATACGTATTGTCACCTCAATATTTTGATTAGTTTGTATTAAACGGGATTTTGGCAAAATTCAAAAAAGCAACAAAGCAAAATATTCCTGCTCTGGATTCAAAAATAATGTTCAGAATTTCTAGAATATCTTTCTAAATCAGATTTCAGATTAGCAGAAATTAAAAATGTTAAACCAGTGGAAAGGTTTAGTCATTTTAATGGTCAATATTTCTAATATCTTTTTTCGGCTGACCGAGGAGTCTGTGAACAATTTTTGGATTACCAATGGTGCACTCAAATCAGATCAAACTGTATAATAACCATTACTTGTATTACTTGAATGAAACTGAAACATTTTTTGAATGAACAATTATTCACATATAATTGTCAACATCAGGTTTCTTATGAATCGACTCAAAAATTCCCTTGTTCAGGTTATGTTATATTTTGATGCCACTAATAAACACAAATCCCAAATTAAATGAAATTATATTTACCTCGGTTAGTTTTCAAATAACACTAGCCCAAACTGGAAACGGTAATTAGGTCAATAAACCTGAAAAATTGACAAGATAAATGTTAGATCAATATGATACGACAAAACAACTTCATTGCTATAGTTTAATGGTTGTATCCTCAACTTTCGGCACAGACAAAATCAAATGTTGATGTTTGCCTGTTTCCTAGCGGGAAATTTATTCTGCCCTTTCGATTAATGGCACTCTCAGTAGACAAATAAGTCTATTGGAGCGTGGCGTCAGGGCAAACCAAAAAGTAAATACCAGTCTCAATTTACAAAATATCATTTAAAAAAATATTACCTTCAGTGATGCAGTTGGTCCGAATACCTCTGGGCAGATTTCACCTGAAAAATAAATTAAAATTCATTAGTTACTTAAAAACAGCCTTGAATCATGGATATAAATCTTTAAACTGTAATTCGAAGAAAGGACGTGATATACCATGTAAATCCAAATTTTGTTAATTCATATCAATATAAATAATACATCATAGGGAGTGTAAGTTTTCAATGGACACTTCTGCAATAATGTATGTGAAAAAATATATTCAAATAAGAGAACACCTCAACTTTTGAATCAATGTTTTCAAAGTGTCTTCAATGAACATTTCATTAAAGTGTATCCTCAACTTTCGGCACAGACAAAATCAGAGCATTGACGTTTGCCTGTTTCCTAGCGGGAAGTTTATTCTGCCCTTTCGATTAATGGCACTCTCAGTAGACGAATAAATCTATTGGAGCGTGGCGTCAGGGCAACATCAAACAGTTGATTATTGCTATCAACACTGATAGGTTTTTGGATAGAAAAATTACCTTTGAACAATTTTTTCTTTCATCTTCAAAAATGGACAGATCCCAAACACCTTCTTGAATCAAATTCCACAAATGATGTCAATGTATAGAGGAAACCAGTTTAACAAGTTCATCAGTTTCAGCTGAAAAAAGAAAACAAAAAACCGTTATTTTCAATAATATACAAGAAACTTTCAATTTTGGATATGAAATATTGTTTCCTCGCCATGAATCGAATGAGCAATAATTTGCACTTCGGGATTAAACGAGGACTTTATTTAGCCTTGTATGATTAGGATTCTCTGAAAATATGAATATTGCAGAGCACCTTGCCCAGAATACAAGGCTAGAATATCACTTCAAAATTTCATAATTAAAAATTTCAGAATCTTTTAAACTTAAAACGAAAAATCATGTGTAATAATTTACATGTGTTTTTATTTTAATATTTATTCCTTAACATGGAATTTTCAAATCTAAGTTTTCATGTATTAAATTAATATCACTTCAAGAATTGTGATGTTTATTTCAGTTTTTGAAGTGTGACCTAGAAAGCAACACTTATGAAACGTACACCAATTGTAACAAATAAAAATCTTAGTAGAAATTAGACAAGTTATTGTCTCTATCCTATATTTAATATGAATTTCCATAAAATATACAGGTCATCAATCAAACAAGTTAATAAAAACAACATTTCGTCTATTTGATGAAATGAACAACTATACACCACTGGTAACATATCTTCGATAGAGAATACCTAGTCTATGTGGGTTTCATAATTGCACCAGTGTTCTAGAAGAATAACTAGAAACGATATATATATATATACCAGGTAGATCAAAAAGATCTGAATACTCGCATTTGTTTCAGTTTAGAGCTTTTTAACAATTATTTATCCAATATCAAGAGATAACTATTATTTGTTATTACCTTCAGTGATGTAGTCGGTCTGAATACCTTTTAGCAGATTTCACCTGGAAAATAAATTAAAATTCATTAATTAGTGAAGATCAATCATCCTTGAATCATGGATCCAAAGCTTCAAATTATCTTGAAAAACTGGACATGAGATATCGCATAAATCCAAATTTCAATTCATGCTAATTCAAATATATTATATCATAGGGAGTATAAAAGTTTTCAATGGACACTCTTCTGCATTAATGTAAGTGAAAAAATATATTCAAACAAGAGAACACACTTTTGAATCGATGTTTTCAAAAGTGTCTTGAATGAACATTTCGTTAAGAGTGTATCCTCAACTTTCGGCACAGACAATATCAGAGAATTGATTGATATTTGTCTGTTTCCTAGCGGGAAATTTATTCTGCCCTTTCGATTAATGGCACTCTCAGTAGACGAATAAATCTATTGGAGCGTGGCGTCAGGGCAAGATCAATCGATTATTACTATCAATATTGATGGATTTTTTCATAGAAAAATTACCTTCGAACCATTTTTTTTTTATCTTCAAAAATGGACACACCCCAAACAACTTCTTGAATCCAATTCCACAAATGATGTCTATGGATAGAGGAAACCAGTTCAACAAGTTCATCAGTTTCACCTGAAAAAATAAGAAAACAAAAAACTGTTATTATTTCCAATAATATACAAAAAAAACTTCAATTTTGGGTATAGAATATTGTTTCCTCGCCATGAATCGAATGAGCAATAATTTGCACTACGGGATTAAACGAGGATATTATTTAGCCTTGTATGATTAGGAGTCTCTGAAAATATAATAACTTATTACAGAGCACCTTGCCCAGAATACAAGGCAAAAATATATCTTTAAAATCAACAATGTGTGACTTAGAAAGCAACACTCTGCACAAAAAGTTTTATTTCACTTTTCAAACAAACAAACAGAACAAAACCAAATTTCATCTATTTGATGAACAACTATTTACCACCGGTAACATTTCTTCGATAGAGATTGGTCGATTTGTGCTTTTATAGCAATTACTTATCCACTATTAAGGGATAACTATTATTCGTATTCAAATTAAAAAATAAGTTACATTTTGGAATAATATATTTCAATGATTTGTAGTTATATCCAATTAAGCAATTAGAATATTTTTAGCATAGTTAAATTTGTTTAATATACATTTTAATTACTTTCAAATTACATCTGTTGATATGCTCGTATATTGCCACTCTTCTGACCAGATTGAGAGCCAACTTAAAGTTCACTGCTCATATGAATTACTTGTATTTTCTTGTTCAATATTTCATTGTGTAGGAATCTTCCAAAGGAAAAAAGCAATCAATTTCAAAAAATCTCTATACAAATATGTTTAGATCATGCAAAGAAATAACTTTCAGACAAACTGAAAGAGCCCTCTCAAAATAACTACTTTCATATATACATTGAATTACACAAAAAATACTTTTCAAACAACTAATTTTTTATATGAACATTGAATTATATGAAAAACACTTTTCTCTATTCCATGGAATTGAATTAGATATCGTTCACAAGATTGCTACACATTATAGTAAATGGTTCTTGGGACAATACAAACAATGCAATAAATACAAAAACAGAAAAATAATTCAATATCAAAAGTATAGGTCTTAATACACACCTTGAGTTATCTGCACTTGTGTCCATTGCACTTATCGTAAGTGTTACCACCCACCTCGTTACTGGACGCTTGTTAGGAAATTCGCCACTTTCAGTGGATCTATCACTGTTTCCAGCATTTTCAAATAAAGGGGCCAGTAACGAGTTAGATAGGGAGATAACGCTTAAGATGCGTACTGTATGAAGAGACCATGGTCCTGAAAAAAATATATAGATTTTCAATAAAATTAAACCTACATTTAGATTTATATTCTTGAATGAAAATATTCAGAGAGGGCAAGTTGTAATCCTTTATGTTTATAAAACACCTCATAATAGTGTATATATTTGAATCATCATAAAATAAGCTTTTCTTCAATATCACTCTTCGTTCAAAAAAAATTAAGTGATTTGAGAAACTAGTAAACTTACTTCAGAGTTCTGATCATTGTAGTAATCTTGTCACATCCTACAAACTAGATCTGAAAAAAAGAAAAAAAAATGTAAAAAGTGATATTATGCATTTCATCAAAGAATTGTCTCTGTTGCAAAAATCAGTTGAAATGCTGTCATCAATATTATTTTTATGACAGGGATAACTAAGTCATCATGTTTAAATCGATGTATGTCTGTTGCCAACTTTTAAAATCCATTATATATCAAATGAGACGATAAAACAGCACAATATATTAATAGAAATAATAGAAAAGTATCCAGATACTTTTTTTCAAATCACTAGTATTAGAAATATACCTGTAAATCTAAAATAGGCAAAATATCCGTATTTTCTTCAATATCTCAAAAAAGATCAGAATATTTAAAAATTGACAAAAAATGAAATGTCGATTTAAAAAAAAAACATTTGAATGTGTCAGGAAGAGTAAATTCGAAAATTCATTGAATTTTTTCGTCAACTAATTTTGAAAAAAACAATTTTTTAATTTTTTCATAGTATAATAGTCTAAAAACATTCCAAATAACAGGAAAATATCCTTCAAGTTTCTTTAGGCTGATAATTTTTGTATGGGAGATCCATCTTCAATTTTTTTTTCGCGTTATCAATTGTCTGGAGAATGCTCAAATTGTGAATTATTATGGCTTATAAATGAAGATCCAATTGTTGAAATGAAACCTTTTGACAGCTGATACAAAAGCAGATTCAAAGTCATCATCAAATCATGAAAAAAAAATCATGATAAACAGACTCATAATTGAAGTGAAGCGTCTTATTTTTTGAGGAACTCTATAATGAGATAATTAAAAGAAAAGTGATTCTATTTTTAGTGAAAATTGATATTTGATTCAAAATAAGACATGTTGAAATTCAGGGAAAACTGCACATAACCAATTAGGTTATATTATTATTTGTACCAGAATGGATGTTATAATTAATAAGAAATTATTCTTTTTAAAAATTACTTAAACATTGATGCCATGGTCACAATGTTGGTATTGATATTTTCCATACAAAATTGGGTTGAAACATCATTGAACACAGCTACCGGACTGAGTGAGAGTGAGAGAAATCTGTATCTGCGTAAAGTTTGGGTCGGTGAAACAAAGTATTAGGAAAAAAAGGAATAAAAACTTTTATTTGCAATTTTACGCATTTGAATGTTTACGGCTTGAATAATCTAACAGACTGATAACAGATTTCTACACATCTTGAGCGAGGGGCTTCTCGCCGGCCATGACTCAGTCTGGCAGCTGTGCCAATGAGGAAACAACTATTTGGTTTACGTTTTGTTCCAACTATTCAAGAGATTTTGGAGGTTCTTCAACTTCTACCAGGCTTGTATCTAGCACCGCTGTTAGATGCAGTTTTATTGAATATTCTCGTTTTTTTACCATTAAACAAACTTACATAATCATGTATAGAAAATTTTATAACATACTTGAGAAACATTTCATTAAAAATATATTTGGCATAACTTACATTCAAGTGACGAAGAAGACCTTTCCATATATCCGTCGATATTTAATCTGGAAAATTGATATAATGTTAAGTTTTCTTTCCACAACAAAAAAAAATTAAAATCAAAGGGGAATTCATCAGTTACAAATAAATTGCAGCCAAAATTATTAATCACAATTTTCAGACGGTAATTATTATCATCACAATATCAAGTCATGAAATCTAAAGAATGATCTGGTTGTAAAATAATCCAGTTATTTGCAAACCTTTGTTATCCTTAACAAATTCTCAGTACAATTTCATAAGTTGTGCGACAAAAAATTGAAAAATTGTAATGGTTCTCAAAGAGCATTCTATGTCAAAACATGAAACTTTTAAAAACAATATGAGTCATCTAGTTATTTCGACATGAAAATTTTCCAAACTAAGAATATGAACCAAATTTCTAACAAAGTGATAACCTTGATAAACATTTGATTTGTTTTTTATGTTACCCCTTATTTTACAGCCAGACTTGGTAAAGAAGGATTAGTGAAAATTTGCTTTACAAATTCCTATCATTAGCATTAAAGAAAACTGTCAAAAAATATATTCAAAAATTTCAAAAATGTTTGTTAATTATTTTGAGAGAGTGGAGTAAAACATTAAAATTTACCTGTAATTCATCTTCATTAAGCTGTATCCCAAGAGAGCACATTATCGTACTTCATCTGAAAAATAAATCAAGTTAGTTTATCTATTTTAATGAAAAGATCAGGAATAAGTTATTCTAAATGATTCAGTTACAAATAAATTGCAGCCAAAATAATAATCATTATTTTCAGACGGTAATTATTATCATCATAATAAGACACTAACAATAATAGAATTTTTTCTGTAAGATGCTGTTGAACAACTGCAAGTTGAAATCACTCAAAAAATTTGGAAAAACTAAGTTGATGCTCTTAAACACTACACAAAAAAATTAAACTGCCTTAACAGTAATTCTTACCAAGTACTCCAGTACTGTTGTTTGACTTCAAAAAATGTGCATTCCTAGAACATTAAAAAAAAAAAAATTAGAAAAAGCATTTCAATTCAGCTTGAATTTTATCAATTGTGAGAACTCATAAAACAAAGGGTTTGTTTTCATTATATTCAAATAATGTAGGTAAGATGATCATATAATCATTGTAATTATAATTATTATTAGTGAAAATATAACAAAAACTATTAATTTGGACAGTATATAACACTTACCTAATACGTCAAAATCTCTCCGGATTTCTGAATCACATTTCTTCAAGTTCTGAAACAGAAATAGGATTTATTTCCACTGAAAGTTTTCATATGAAATCCAATAATCAAAATAAAAACTTGTCAGATAGAAAATATCAACATAAAACTTGTTCAGTCATATGCTTGTCTATAAAATCATCACTACACATAATTGACTTGAGTTTTTGTGAAATACATTGTAAAAAATTAATAAAAGCTTCCTAAATCAATTGCTCTTAACATTTTCTCCTGCTGTATCAGTTTTTATGAATGATAAACTGGATAATACTTACCATCATTCATCCATGTTGCACGTGGTGAAAGGTAGAACACACAACATTTGCTGCAATAAAAAAAACTAACTTCAATTCATAACTCAAATCTTTGAACAATGTGTCTAATAATATAACTTCTCAGATCGAAATTATCAACAAAACTAATTCAGTCATATGCTTGTCTATTAATAAAAATCATCATAAAAATATGTCACAAACTGAATTCTATTTGAGCAATTATGTTTTATCACTACTTGATTTTCTGGTGTATATGATTATTCGGTACCAACTCGTTTATTAAAGAAAGAATACTACAATACTACTTTGATGTGTCAATTTTCCAAATGATAGAATTTTTGCCAGGAGCTCCAGAGGGTTTTAGTTTTTCAAGGCAATCCTCTTTCTGTAATGCAAGATCAATCTTTATATTCTCATATTCTATGTATTTACGTCTACTGTAATTCCAAAATAGTCAGCACTAAATTATCAGAAATGACTTGACATTTTTTGCCTTAATCTTAATCTTATGCTGAACATGAAAGGTCCTTCAGCCTAGGAAAAAACGATTCGACGTTTTCAAACCATTCCTTGGCATGCAACCACAAGTTTCTGAATCTAAACGATACGGAAATTCTGCACTATGCAAGGAAGGGTTGCAAATTCAATTATTTAGAATCCCTAGAAATTCACAAGCATAAGCATTGCGGGTGCAACCTGTTAAATGATCAAATCGATTTAAATTACTCTCCGGTTTTTAAATTGGCACATCCGCATTGTGAACTGTAAATTCAGGTACTCAATCAAGTCAATCACCCTATTTCTATTAGTACCTACAGGGGTGGTATATAATGTGTAATGAATCATTGTTAGTTTATTGTATAAGTTTGAAAATGTCCGTATAGGACGAAACTGCAGTAACGTTAGTTACAAATAAAAGTGGCAAAAAACATAGAAATTGTCATTTCTCTTTTCATGAGAAAATATCTTGTAACAAAAAGTCATTCTTAAATTTGCATTTTATGTAGAATTCACCCTAACTAATCTATCTTGATTTTTGTGAAATTATGAAAAAAAAAAATCACATAAACCACTACCAGTACAAAAAGTTCAAAATTACTTACATTATTGTATTATTCATTATCTTCTGAAGAAAATTCGTTGGATGATGAGCAACTATCGCAATCGCTATTATCAGAGCTAATAACCAACGGTTCAATTGCAATGTCCATTCTAGTGTCGAGATCCCACATTTTGTCTTCTTCTTTTATCGTATGTCTAATGCATTTTTTCCATGACTCGGGTGTGACATTTTCTATAGCAGTAGCTAGTAGGCCTTTTATCTCATCTGTTTCAGAAGTCAAGTCTTCCCTCGCCACCTGGTTTTTTATTTGAGCCCATATTAGCTCAGTAGGGTTTAGTTCACAATGGTAAGGAGGGAGGCGGTGTACAATTATGTTCCTCTCACGAGCCATTTCATCAACAACATATTTCATCAACAGAGGTATATGTTTCCTTGCAATATCGAGTAATTGAACTTTTAACATATTATCATCGAATGTTAGATTTTTTTGAGACAGCCAGTTAATGATATCAGCTTTTGGCCAGTCAGTTGTTGGTGACTGCTCCAATTGTCTGCTGTGGTAAGAGGCGTTGTCCATGACGACGACAGAGTTTGGTTCAAGGCTTGGTAAAATCTGTGAAAACCAACTTTCAAACTTTTGCTCATCCATTTCCTCGTGGTAGTCACTAGTTTTGTTGGAATTTAAGAGTAACAAGCCATTTTCCAAAAAACCTGAATCGCTGCCTATATGAGTTATCAAGAGCCTCCGTCCTTTGCCAGCTAGTGCTTCCGATCCTTTTGAAACAGTATGGCCTTGATTCAGAAAAGTCTCATCTAAATAATAAATTTTTCTACCGTCAAGACGATACTCTCGGATTTTTTTCAAGTAATTTCTCCGCCACAAAACAATTTCTTCTCTTTCTATAAGAGCACTTTTTCTACCTCTTTTGATAAATTTAATGTTCATTTGCTTTAATGTGCGCAATAAAACACGTCTTGATATTTTGGGCATCGTTTCATCGGAACTTATTTCAGCTGCGACTTTTTTCAAGGTTGGGATTTCATTTCTGAAAAAGAACAAATGGAATTTCCTACGAATAGCATATTTGGTACAATCATCAAGCTGAATTTGTTTTCTTCCTCTAGTTTCAATGTTTTTAGATACATCACATTTACCTTCATTTTCTTTGAAGGATTTAAGAATTCTGTGAACACTTCTTATCGACACTTCAGTTAAATCACTACACAGATTAACTACGTCGTTATGCAACATATTTTCATTTCGTTCACGGAGCCCACAATACACATTATATATAATAGTTTTTTCTCCTTCAGATAAATTTGGACGTCTGCGTTTGCTTTGACTGCTTTCACTTTCCATATTTTTCACAGTTCACAGCTCAAAATTAAACTGATTTATAATGACATTTCCCATGTTTCAGTCCTTGAACACATCCCTTGGTTTTTTCTATCTGATATCAGATCAGATCTTTCATAGTATTCTGCAACTACAATGAAAGACAAAATTAGCAAAGATTTTCAAAAATAATAAAACTATTATTCTGATTCAAAGTAGTTCAGACATTTCCGAAATATTTTAATCAGTAGTTCATACGAACGAGACAAATGATTTCATCACTAAGGAATAGTTTTTAAGCTAGTTGGGTACAGTGAAAAAATCTTTATGGTGAATTTAGTAAATATTCGTTTTGAGGGCACCCGGCGATTTTGAAAAAAATTTTGAGTGTACTTACGTATTTGGATGCGCAGATTACGAATCTAAAAGAAAAAAGCGGTGCTCTCCATTATTTCCAAAGTTACGGCCCTTCAAAGTTCAGAAAAGGGTAACTTTTCAGACTTATTTTTCTCAAGATAAACTATTTAAAAACAAGCATTCATTCAGTAGGTCACCTTTATACCTTATTCCTCCTTAATGGACACTTTTCAATTCAACAATCAACATTCCTCGACTGGATGGAAGTCAACATTTTTCTTACAAAAAACTTAATTTAAAAACGAATGCTTGCATCAGTCGTACCAACTATGCCATTAACCTTAAAAACGCTATAAGACATATACGTAATACATTTTACAACATTTTTATTGGAAATATGATTGTTGAAGTGAAGAGTGTCAAGGAAGGAGGAATAAGTTGTAAAGGTGACCTAGTGAATAAATGCTTGTGTTTTTAAATAGTTCACCTTGTTAAAAAGAAGGCTGAAAAGTTGACCTTTTCTAATCTACGCATCAAAATACGTAAGTACATTCAAAAATTTTTTCAAAATCGCCGGGTGCCCTCACAAGGATTATTTACCCTATTAGGAATTATGATCACTTATATACTGAACGTTCTATTATAATCATACATTATCGGAAAAATATCCGTGGTTATGATATAAAAATCATTTGAGGATATAATTTGTAAAGATAAATAAAGGAAAACTCAAGGGATGATTTTGATAAATAAAGAAATACTACTTACCAGCAATAAACCCCTCCCTTTTGAAATTGTATTCTGATAAAACATGGTTATGTAAAAGTACTACTAAGTTAAGTAGCCAAGTACAACCTTAACCGGCGACGTTTCAAACTGAAAAGACTTTCAAAATTTTCAGATTCGTGAAATCATTCGTAAGAGTGGTGGTAAAAGAAAGAGGGGGAAAATCCAACGATGTTGCCAAAATATATTCCACACAGACCTGATTTTAGTTCTATGATTTTCGTTAAAAGTGACATCACGGAAAAGTTGAGATTTTAGTTTTGTTGCTATATAGTCCCGAACTCGAAACAAAGTCCGAAACATTAAAATATGCATATTAGTAAATTCACCGATATTTAATAAGTATTCATATTCAAATAATGGATATAAAATATATAGAATAGCTTTACTTTCAGAATCATCATCACACCCCAGGTCTGCAATTTCCAACTATTGGAAAATCACCCATAATATTATATATAACAGCCCTATTGGCATGATAAAAGTAACATGTGACTGGATCTCATTCGTTGAATTTAAAACAGGCAAAATCAAATTCTCTCCTTTTCGGTTCAGTGAACCCAAATTTTGATATTTACTTGTACCATATCATATATTTATATTATATTCCGATTCTGTGATCAGGACTATTTCGTAACTGATTCTGCATGCGTTCCACTAAGCGCTCACAACGATCACGCTCAAGACAGCAGTTTTTCCCGTCCCACTTGCTTGCGAGCGTTACTGTCGTAAATTCAAGTGGAATGGATTATAGAACGTTTTGGGCGTTCATGTATACATTGCAAATGGCGAGGTTGAAAAAATTAAGTAAAAGTTTTAATGAGGTTACGTAAATTTTAACTATAGGTTTCAATAATTGCAAGCTAACTTCATTTATATTAAAAAAGATGTATAAATTATTAAACAAATTGAGTTTGAATGTAGTCAAAATGTCTTATACGGCAATCGGATATTCGTAGATGCGTCGCAATAGTGCTTCAGAAACTAATTCATCTAGTTCAGATGGAGAGTGGAATGCAACTTTTTAAAATTATAATCGTGAAAACTGAAAACTCAGGCCACGTATTATTGATTATGAGAATGTATTTAATCGTTATTCAGACGAAGAATTCAAAAGTCATTTCAGGTCGAAGTAACCGATATAGTTATCTTGAAGGTGTCGGCGAAGTCAAAGGCCAAAAAAACCAATTCAAAGGAATTATGCCGCAACGAATTAGTTCACGTGGACTGAAGAATTGGCGGTTCGTATTGGATAATTTTTACTGACCGAGTTTTATGATTGCCTGAGAGTACTTGAACTATACATGATTTTCAATCACATATTACACTATAAATTTTCAAAATGTCATATCAACACAATTACTTTACTTCGATATGTGTAAGTAATCATTCCATTGATTACTTATGAGATTGAATAATGGAATAAGTTGAGAAATTAGAAATGAACCAAAAATAACGCATAACATATGTCATATTTCAAAAATTGCGCCGAAATATTCTCAACGTTCACTTCTATAGTTTTGTCACTTCGACCCAGCTCTTTAGATGGGTCGTTGTGAGCACGTACTCTGGTTGTGAGCTTGCCGTGAGCAAAAGTAATGATGTCATGAGTAACGTTTTCGAGGCGATCATAACGACCGCGATCATTATGTGGAACGGTTATGGGAACATTTTGATCGTTGTGACAGCTTAGTGGAACGCACGGTCTGTATACTAACTCAGATGACAATTTCAAACATTTTTTTGCGTTAACTCCTGACAATTCATTTTTTTAATTGTTGTCAATACCTGTATCTTCGCTTCGAGGGTGGGTATTTCAATTTCGAAAATGAAATCAGCAAATCATCAAACTATGAAAATTACTTCAAACACGAAATGAACGAAGAACGAACTCATGAGACCTGTCTTTTGAATTAACATCACGGGCCTCAGCCTCAATTGATTAGGTTAATAGCTGCCACTTAGATTTAACATATCCTTTAGATTTAAAGGACATGATAAAACTAACCGATACTTGATGAAAATCAATCGAAACCCATTCAGAAAACATACATGAACGTGAGATTTCCACTTTAAGTGGAAGTGTATTTTTTGAATAATTTACAGTAGAGTATCGAACGTAGCCAAAAATGACAAAAATTGAGCGGGAAAGAATTGACAACTGTCCGTGTCAGTGGTGTTCCGTAATTTAACCTATAATGATATATGTTTGTTTTGAATTTAAAAATTATTGGGCCATTTAATTAAAATATCAAATTGAAAGTATGTTTCAAAAGAGTATAACGTAAGTTGAGAAATTATGATTTTAGGCAATTTTCTAATTGAATTATTTTCAAAGGTCATTCTTCAACAGAGTACCCCCAAAAGATAAGCCAACAGAAGAAGGAGGGTATGTCAACTTTAATAGTTTTATTTAAAGGAAGAATGATTTCAACTGTATTTCGTATCATCCCTTATAAATTCACCAGCTGCCTTAATTACAATGTTCTGGCTATGTCATTTTGCGATATTCTTACTTTGAGTAGAAATATAATTCATAACAATAATTTGATTTCAAATGAAAGGAATTTATTTATTTATCATGGACTCATGTAAGTACGGAATTGGAATCGAGTCGTCAAAAATGATTTATTTTTATTCTAGGTCTAAAAAACTAGATGGGAATACAAATGCTAGTACTTTGATAGAATCTATTGATGTGGATACTAGAAAGTAAGATTAAATGTTATATGACTTTATCTATCTGTGAAACACTTTTTGGCTTTCTACTCATTATATAAAAAATATGAGAAGTTTTTAAAGAAAGGAAAAAAGTGATCAACTTCAAAATAAACTCTACAAAGATGTGAAGCCCATTGGAAACAACTACTATCAAACAGATAAATATTGAATTAGGTACACGAAAATCACTTTTTCTCTGTTCAACTTGTATATTCAATATGGATTTGAAACAGATATCCTTCACAGAAACGTTACACAACGTATTGAATGAAAAAGTATTGAGATGAAATTTCACATACATGGAAATCTATCATTCCTGCTGGTACCTCTATAGAAGTTTTGTGCCAAAAACACTTGCCTTCAACTCCTTATCAGCACATCCACATGTTTCTAGATACGATATAAAATCAAGAAAGGTTAATGTAGTCAACTTGATCAAATTGGAATGTTCATATATTTAAAAGTAGTTTGTAACTGGAAGAACTGTTGTGCATGATCTACACATCTGTGTAAAGATTTTATTTCGATTTCAATTACTTTTTTCCTCTCTCTGGAAGTTTTTTGTATGAAGATGAAGTGAAAAACCTAAAAGCTTCTCAAAAACTAACCTCCTAAAAGTATTCTTCTTTCAATGTAAATGACTGTTTTTATCACAAGATGATCATAATTTTTCTTGTTGCTTTTTCTATGTATGTACTTTTATTATGAATTACGTTTGTTAGCGGAATTTCAAAATTAGTTTTTTGGAATTTATCCATTTTTGTTTGCAACTCATGAATGTATTGAATCTCAAGAATTTGTTGATCATGTTTAGTGTCACAGATATTGTTCGGGTTTTGTGAATCTTATAAATTATTGAGACTAATTATTTTTAAAATTAGAAAACAGTAATTTTCTTTGTTCGTGTAGGCGGTATTACATTTCTGATAATTTGTCTGAAAAACCCAGAATTTTCTTCAAATGCATTTAACAGTGAAATGGTAACTTTTTTGAGTAAGTTCATGGTTATGTAGTGGTCAGAGGGGCGATGATCCCTCTTCGTTAGCTAGCGATCTAATAGGGACAAAGGTTGTTGCAAAATTTCTCTAATATTTACCTGAAATGTATCTGAGTTGCACTATTAGTTAAGATCCTGGTTGTATCTTTGAACATGCTTTTCAATATCTTCAGAACTGTGTCTTTCTCAATTAACATGTGATAATATCATCATTTTGTGATTTTTGTCATAAATTCAAATTATTAATATCATTATTGACGTTATTGGTACATTCCTTTTGTGAGGTCTTTCCTATACTTCACTAAGCAATAACACAAAGTTTTTGGTCTTAGTATTTTCAATATATTCAATAGTAATAAATACTAGATTAATTTTTTTACTTCTCATAGTTCTTGAACCTGTCAATATTTTTTTAGATATTGTAAAACCTAACCGCTATAGCATTTACAATTAAACATTGTCAACTACATTGAAATAAAAGATGAAACCAAAATTATTAACTTTACTCTTAGTTGACAATAATATTAGAGGTAACAATATTGATATATAAATATTTATTCATATCTAAAAAACATAGATAATGTGAAAAGGAACTATAAAATGCATGACACTTAAATGTGCAGAAAGATGGAAAATGTAAAGATAAAACACTACTGAAAGATGAAAAACGCAAATCATCTGAAAATGAAATGCCAGCAAAAAAAACCTCACCAATGAAAAAAGAAAATGAAAAAGATGCCACTTCTGACACTTCTGAGAAAAAAATCAATAATATATTCTTTGGTAATGTCAAATTTTATCTTAGAAGTTTTCACAAAAAAAAAAACATAAAATATTTTTGAAATCATTTAAAATTATCTTCATGTATTTTTCACACACTTCAAAACAGTCTGAGAAAACTGAATAATATAGAAACACCAATCACTGTAACAAATTATTTCGTAGTTTAGTGAACTTTATCTTTCACAGACTTCTCTTTTATAGGTATCCTTTTACATTTCGTGAAGACTTGTAGATTGGTATTCAAGTTTGCTTTTATTTGTTTATTAGTGCCAGATCAAATCATCTCGGACAACTTTGAACCTGTTTGCGACTTTCTAACCGAACAAAATCCTGGAATCTAAATTTTTTATGGAGGGTTGAACCGATAACTTGAGTAGTTGCCTTAAGAATTTCAGTTCTTGAAAATTTGTGAGAATATATTTTCGACTCAGCACAGTTTTGTAAAAAAAAGGATATCAATTGAAGCAGCTTACTACCATCTTGTGGATCATATTTACACGCAGATTGATAATACTAACTAGATCCTCTCATATGTCTCGTGTGATAATGCACTGTCTACTTTTTTTGTTATATGTGGCCATGTTTCAATATCACATGTTTGCTGATGAAATTTTACTGTAGCATAGGATGACAACCTAGCTATATAGCTATATATATATATAGCTATATATATTTTTTGAGTGTTCTCAGTAAGAACTGCAGATTCAAAGTATTTCATTCTAGTTGTTAGTTAAGACTTGAATTATTTTTGGCTTCATCTGTTTTGTTATAGCCAAAGTAAAGTATATTTATAATGCTCATACATTATCACAATTTAATTTATGCATTGATTGAGAGATTGTTACAATTTAGAAGAATGTGGTAATTTTGAACTAATTTTTTCAGAAAAACAAACTTCAGAAGACAACAAAAAATCGGACACCGGCGGTTACACTCCAAACTCTTCTAAATATCACCCAATAAAAGACGCTGTATGGAAATATAAAGAAAAGTGAGTATAAATGAAATAGTTGTAAATATACTGACCTGTTTCTTCATGAAAATTAATAACACTATCCATGATAATAATTGAACAGTTTCACACTATGACTTTTGTTTAAGACGTGTTTCGCTACCATGTAGCTTCATGAGTTGTACTGGTGATCAGTCCAATTTTTATATGAAAATCGTTCACTTATTAGCTTGGATAATGAAATGGTTGTCTAATCAGAAATTAAGTAATAATTTGGGCTCCAAGATCTTGTGTTATTTTTGAAAATAATTGAAAATATTAATTTTTTTTTAGAGTACCTTACATTGCTCTAGCTAGGACGTTTGAAGAAATAGAGAACATATCCGCAAGGCTCAAGATCATCGAAATTTTAAGTAACTATTTCAGATCTGTAATTGTTTTAACACCAGAGGACCTACTGCCTAGCGTGTATTTATGTTTGAATAAACTGGCCCCTGCATATGAAGGTAAGCAATTGAAAAATATCAAGGACCACACACAAACTTTATAGAAAATGGCTATTGGTGAATTCTGCAGATTTTTTGGTATGATAAATTTTTCAATGTCCTGATCAAAAGTCTCCACGGGCACAATAATAATAATATTTATTAGTCTCAAGAAAAATGCTTGTAGATAAATTAGATTTACAAGANGTGTCTTTACAGCACCGTTTGCGAATAATTGCAGATCATACAGGTGACGTATGAAGCCATTATCCGAGGAATGAAAAAATAATTTCTATATTATGAAAATAATAGATCTTGAGAAAGTTAGTCAATGGATATGGATATGGTTATAGAAGATGATTCAATTGATATACCGTGTGACACATATTCATGGTACAGCCCCCTTTTCTCCTTTGTTTCTCTGGCTATATTTTTGGGAACATTGAATATGAACACTAGACGGCACTTTTTGACATATTTGTGAAACAAATATGTTATTTAATGTATATTCCTTTTATAGTTTATATTGTACTTCATGAGTTCTGTTATGACTAGTTCAATAAGTTTATATATGTATTTTTTACACATTTTTATTTACTTTGATGATGAATAAACTTGATTTGATATTTCATATTGGTTTAACGATGAAAAATTCAGAAAAAACCCTTTCTATGATCTACACATCTTTGTAAAGAGTTCGTTTTGAACTTGATTGCTTTCTTTCTTCATTCAGAAGCTTCCCACATTTTTGTTAAAGTTTGAGTAATCTCGTCAATCTATGTCATACTTCAATTTCATGTGAATCTGTAAATAATTTGAATTCCAAACTTTGCCCACTTCAATGATGTCACTAAATGTGAGACTTCAATTTCAGGTTTGGAATTGGGAATTGCTGAAACTAGTCTCATGAAAGCCATTGCACAATCAACTGGAAGAAGCATGGCTCAAATAAAAGCAGACTCGCAAGAAGTTGGTGACTTAGGTCTAGTAGCCGAAAAATCGAAGTCGAATCAAAGGATGCTTATCAAACCGGCAAGGTTAACCGTTCGAGGGGTGTTTGAAAAACTGAAAGATATCGCAAAGATGACAGGACATGCATCTCAGACCAAAAAAGTTGAGAAAATTCAAGCCATGTTTGTGGCGTGTCAAGGATCTGAAGCAAGGTTCCTGATTCGATCTCTGGCTGGTAAACTGAGAATCGGCCTTGCAGAACAATCTGTATTACAAGCTTTGGCGTTGGCTTGTGCAATGACTCCTTCAAATCAGCAGTATCCACCTGAGGAGCTGAATATGTCTAAAAGTATGTCTGCTGACTCGTTTAAAGCAGAATACGACAGATTCAGTATTCTCCTTAAAACAGCCTATTGGTGAGAAAGTTTTTCTTCAAATTGAATAATTACATATTTATTTCAGTAGCAAAGCACATATTTAAGAAAAATGGATAACTTGAATTATTACTGAAATATTTCATTTTTTATCAGACCTTCATTATATAGCGGAGGGAACCTCCTGAAAAATTCCAGCAAATCTGAGTGGAGCTTTGTTTATGCAATGTAAATTTTTTTTATCTGATGCTGGAGTTAATTTTTTCTCAATATCTCGATAAAAAGTGTCATTACATTTTGTTTGTTATTGTAAAGGACTCTACAAAAAAGGTGTTTTCCTTTCATATTCAAATCATAAGATTCATAGATTTGAAAAAATTTAAATACTTGGTAACTATTACATCTTCTATAAAAAAGTAAATACCTTTATCGTTCATTATTTTACACTAAAAATTTCAATAGAACTCAGAGTTTTGAAAATTAATGAAATTTAATTCATATAACCGAGAACATATGATAAAATGATATATTTCCTATGTCATCTAACTTTTTTTTTATCACAGATTTAAAAAATTTGAATCTCAATTCATAATAATGGAATGAGACAAAATTAATGAAGAGTAAGTCTCTTGACACCATTTGATAAATACTTAAAATATTGTTTGCTCAGATCGTCATACAGAAAAACATAATTTTTCAGAATATAGATTTGTTGAGTGATTGTACATGTACATACTTCGTAAATGGAAGCCTTTTCAAAGTGATAAGTTACAGTTTTCATCAACTTTTCAAAATCTCTCCCACAGGTGTTTCCATTGAATATATCAGTCCATTTTTTTTTTGAGACAAATAGAAAAAATTATCCTTGGAAAGTTAATTCAAAAGAAGCAAACTGTAAATGTCTTGTGCCCTTAGTTAAATCGGTAGTATAAGTTATAATATCAATCGGCATTGAAGACTTTCATGAGACTCTTGTTAGGTCCATCTATGATGATCTAAATTAAAATGTTAAAAAATCTGTATATATGTATCACAGATTTTCTTTATCATATATATAAAAATGGATGTTTGTTGGTAAGTGATAAACTTCTACATCGCTCAACCGATCGTGATGAAACTTGACATGTATTAGTAATTTTTCATAGAGAAGGTTTTTAGGCTATCAATTTTTCTGTAACTCGCCACTAGATGGCGCTGTAGAACAATTTTTTTGAAAGCACTGGTCTATAACGCTGCGCATGCAACACAGTACTAGTTGTTGATAAAAAAAAATAATCAAAATAATAGTTGTATCATTATTGTTATCTCATTTTCTGTATTTTATATCAGTATATATTTTATATCATTATGTATTTTATAACAGCGAGTGTCCAAACTACGACAAAATTATTCCAATAATTTTGGAGAAGGGTATAGAAAAGTTACCTGAACATTGCAAATTAACACCCGGAATTCCTTTGAAGCCAATGTTAGCGCATCCAACGAAGGGAGTACAGGAGGTACTCCGAAGGTTCGAAGGTTTGAAATTCACTTGTGAATGGAAATATGATGGTGAAAGAGCTCAGGTAATTCACACTATTCAAAAATTTTGAATAAATTCCTTTAATAAGATTCTTTTTAGATTCACATTGACAATGAAAATGTACATATATTCAGTAGAAATCAAGAAAATAATACTTCAAAATACCCAGATATTATTTCACGATTGGAGGGTTGCAAGGTTGAAGATGTCAAATCCTGTATCCTCGATTGTGAAGCTGTTGCTTGGGATAAGGAAAAGAAACAAATTTTACCATTTCAAATTCTCAGCACCAGAAAGAGAAAGGTATCTTTACAATTTATAAACAACTTTATTTATGACTAAATGGTTGAGGCTTTCGCGGCCGGGGTTTTCAGTGTCACTATTTTTATTCAGGTTTGAAGACCGTCGATTTTTGGAATTTCTTCCTGATGTTACGCTGGCGCGAGTGGCTACCTTCCTCAGAGATTTATACAACCTGAGTTAATACTGCCGTGCTAAGACAGAAGGTCGTAACTGACCAAAAATTGCATTTCAAGGTTTTTGAATATTTCGCTTCTATTGAACACAACCTATCCAAGGGACAAAGTCAGAATGTCGTATCTTCAGTCTAAATACCTAAAATAACATATACTATTTGTCGTATCTTGAGAATATCAAGCGGTTACTAAATCAAAGTGTCGTATCTGGTTCATGGTAAATCATGTCGTCCTATCTGACAGTTGAGACTTCTCTTATTGCTATTCATATAGAATTTGATAAGCAAATACATGGTCGAATTGTCCTATCTGCCCTGCACTGAGTCAGATTGTCGTAACACTGCTTTAAAATTCCTTATACGACTTTTGAACTTAGGTTGACTTCAATTGAAATATGATGAGTACGAAATCTGGCTGAAAATGTGATACTTACACCTGTTCAATTTAACAGAAGTGAGGTTATGTGTGTGAAAGTTATTCTTTATTGCACCACGTGGTGAATGTATTCTTTCATATTTCTACGAATAATATTAGCGATCACTTCCGTACATTTGTTGAACATTGTTTTTGAAAACGACAAAATTGACAATTTCACATTGCAACTGAACTTCGGTGAATATGTTCAGGTGCTGAAAGGTCACAATCTGACATAATATTAACTTTCAATAAATTTCTATTATCACACAGAGATGCCAAAGAAATAACACTTTGGACGGATAATTGTGCAGCCCAGAATAAAAACTGGGCTCTGTACTGTTTTTTAGTTCACTTCATTAATTCTGAATTTACAACAATAAATTTACTGAAACTGAAATATCTTCAAACTGGTCACACTTTCATGAATGCTGACTCATTCCATCACCGAGTGGAAAAGTAATTAAAACAGAAGGGCAAAGTCGTAGATTTTGAATACTATAAAACTTGTGTTCAAATATCAAATAGTGGACGTACGACCTGCATTCATATGGATGTAGATGACTTTTTGGATGTTTCAGACTGTTCAGCCAGATTCAAACTAAAGAAAACCTCTATTATCTATATTTTGTGAAGTACATTTCGTGAGAGGTTCCAAAAAACTATTTTACAAAGCAAAGTTTGATGGAGAGCGAATTGAATTGTGTTTCCCAACTGCGAAAGCTCTGAAAGAAGGAATAGCTCGGCCGCAAATCAGATCCACTCCGAAAGGAATAAACCCAATTCGAAAACATAACTTGATTCGTAAATGACAAGGGATGTCTGTACCCAAAAATAGACTCAAGTTTTGGGAGGAGTTACCGGAGACCGAAGAAGAAACCGGATTAGATTGAAGTTTTTTAATCAAATATTTCAATCATCAAAAACTGATTTTACTGATTTTCCATTCTCAGTTCTCACAAAATATTGTGAATACATGATTTTTTGTTTCCACTTAATCCTAATAAACATCACTTATTCATTTGGTTAGTTCATTTCCCCAGCCGATATGTCTTATATGATTCTTCCAAAGGCAAAAAGTCGTATCTCTTACAAGAATATGACTCAAGTTCATTTCATGGTGAGGCATTATAACTTAGTCCAAAAGTCATATCTGTCAAAGTCATCAAATTCTCTTGAATAGTGATATTTAAAATGTCAAACTATTGAATCATTAACGACTCATCACACTAAACAACATTTCTCCAAAAAGTAAATTTTGAATACAATAAACACTGATATTCCAATTGGATTTACTAATCTCCAAATAACTCAAAACTAGATATGACCTCTTGTCTAAGCACGGCAGAATATCTCCGATGACTGGATATTACGGCTGCTTAATATGTATTTATGTTGACTCCTCAGGTAGTTTGGTATGCTAATACCTGAACCTGGCTTAGGTAAATTACGTAAAGCGTATTTACGTTGATTCAAGTAGTCTGGTGTGATAATACCTGAAGTTGGTAAATTGTCAATACCGTTCGTTGACCCCTTTCTACCTGCCGTCATGCTGTTTGCTATTGTTGAACTTCTTGGAATGGGTTTCCATATTCGATTAAGAGGTTCACAGCTTCTTCTTTTCTCTTAAAATCATCCGTGAGTTTGTGTATTTCTTTTGCTTCCCGTACCAGTCGGCTATGGTATCCCTGGTCAAGGGCAGTGTTTTCAAATAGAATCATGTGGTTTCCTTCACTGAATGCGTGTTCTACCACAGCTGACTTGTCCGTTTGGCCAAGACTTTCATGCTCCTTCAGCCTTGTTCCCATGGATCTTTTGGTGGATCCGACGTATACCTCCCCACAAGTGCACGGTATACGATAAACGCAACACAATCAAGGCTAAGGAACGTTAACAAAATTATCGAATCTTTCTCACTGTCGGAAACCTTACACAGAGCCATTTTCAGAACTGAAGCTGTTCCACCCAAATTCTACGGCTTCCGAAAATACACAAAACTAACATGCCACTGAGACCAATAGTTAGTGCTCCAGACTCACCAACCTACCACTTGGCAAAGCATCTAGCCTTGTTCCTCTAGCCGCATGTGGGAAAGATAAACTCCTACGTCAATGATTCGACAGACTTCGTTGGATTTAACTCTGGAGCTGACGTATATTCTGGTCAGCTTCGATGTTGTGTCTTTGTTTACGAATGTCCCACTGGAAGTAGCAAACGAAATGTTTGGTACTCTGGGTTCCATTTGACCACGGCCTACTAGTACGGATTATGTTTTCTTAAAAAGTAACCACCGTTTTATTATGTATTCAATAGTTCACCTACAAAACAAAGAACTGTATGATGTACAAAATTTAATTCTATTATACATTGGGTAACACTAATTACAAATTTATTTTCTGAAATATTTTAGAATACAGGTTTACATGATTGTAGGTTTATTAAACTTTGAGTTTCGCGCTAAAAGGTGTTGGGGTTAATTGTTTTCAAGTATTATATGTATAACAAAGTGACTAGATTTGAATGATAGGATTTTTGAAGTTATATCTTAACCTAATGAGACCAACAAGACTTTGGTCTGATATCTAGGACATATTTTTCATGAATCGAACGAGATCTTGTTGAATCCATTGAATCTAAAACTGAATCTATTCAATAGATTTTACGCCAAAGGTTCGAGTAGAAATTATCGAGATCTTGTTGAATAATGGCAGATTTAAAGTATGTATTCAACACTTTTAGGATGCCAATGAAGCTGATATCAAAGTACAAGTATGTGTTTTCATGTTTGATCTGTTGTACTTGAATGACAGAATGAAGTGTTATCCCCAAACAAAACAATGAACTTTCTTTCGAACCAACTTCACTTTCGTTATTAGCGTGTTTTATTTTTACTCTTTTTTCATTGCTTATCAATGGAGGCTATCAACATACAATTATATTGAAGAATTTTTCATTGTCTCATGTCAGTTCTTCATGAAGTGTATGCACCTACACTCTAAGCCCCAACAGTCATTTTTTTCATGTAGATTTTAAAAATTTGAAATAGTGGCGTTCGTACAGAAATATTGACTGGATATTCTTGGAAAAATAGTATGTATGCCACTGTTTTTGTGACAAACTTGAATTTTTTACTTAAAAATCACATGTCAGATGAAAAAGATCAAAAAATTAAATTTGTCCTAATATGAATGGCATGTGCTAAATCTCATGCACAATTCTAAGAAAAACGTTGAAAACTTTTTTCTCAAAAATCTCTTTTTTCATTCCTATCCAGAAAGTTAATATAATAAATTTGAGATGTTAACACCCTGTAGCTCAAAATTCAATAAGGTTAAAGACATACGTTTATTTGAACTTTTCTTCTTAAAATCAGCTGAGGATTCACGCTTGAGGATCAGCATTTTATTCTGAAACACCCTGTATTCAATTCGTCGATCCATTTTTGGAGAGGAAGAAGGAAATTGTTTCAAAATGAACTCTTTACGAAGTTGTTTAAAGATGGTGAAGTGAAAGCCAAAAGGCTTTTTTCCCAAAAAAAAACCCATTTTGATGTTGTCAACTAAAATGAATTGGTGAAAAAGAAAATGAAAGGATAAGAAGTTGATAAAAAAAAATAAATATACAAAAAATCGATCATAAACACTGCACTGTTTTTCGTACGCTGGTAAAACTGCGTAGTACGCTTTAATCGAATCTCACTTGAGATATGGTGTCGCCTTATGGGGGTTTTGTAGCAAACAGTTACTACAGTCTGTTTTCGTTTTGCAAAAAAGAGCAGTGAAATTCATCTACAAAGCCAATATTAGGGACCATTGCAAACCCCTATTTATCAATAATAAATTACTGACTGTACACTGCATTTTTATCTTGGAAACAGTAAGTCTCATATTTAAAAGAAGAGAATGCTATAGATCAGAAAATACCTACTTTACCGTCAAATTCACGACATACCTCTGCCTATTCCAATAACAACGTTAACAAAACATTCTGTTTTGTTTGAGAGTCGGAAGATTTTCAACCATTTACCTACCGAAATGAAAAGTATAGTGAACTACAAGGTATTCCGTTACCGTGTAAAAGAACTTTTGAATAGTATTGTTTTCATATGCTTTGTCAATAAGATTTTTTTCTTAGACAATAAAGTACAGTGATTGATTGGTTGAATTATTATTTCAGGCTGATCCAGAGAAAGGTATCTCATTACGATTTCCGAGATTCATAAGAATACGAGAGGACAAGACTGTAGAAGAAGCGACATCATCACAACAAATTGCCTATATGTATTCAAATCAAGAACAGGTCAAAAATCAGCAACAAAATGTTAAGTTTGATGAAGATTTTTATTGATTTGCATACTGTTAGCTTGTAAGTTGAATAACTTCATTTTTTTTTAATAAACATTTTTCTATGGGCGCCAAAAATTTCCTTATAGAGCCAAGAATAAAAATTAAATTTTACATTTAGTTTTTACTACTTCAGTCTCTTAATATTCCTACCTAAAAATTATACTTATTCAATAAATTCACTATTTCATGCTACTTTTTGAAATACCTATTGTACAGGATCCAAAGAGAAGTCATCATTTGCCCATCTGTTTTCCAGATGAAACATACTCTTCATTAATTTTCAAATATGGATGTATGCATCCCGAATATATAGCCTATCGAAATATGTTCATGGCTATCCCTAATTAAAAAATAATAATTTCACACAGAAGCATTACACTTATGTGATAGAACATGTGAAATTTTTGAAAATGAAGTTTGTGAAGATCAAATGGTTAGGTGTAGTTTGTGAAATTATGGATCCTCATCAAGTCAATCTGAAAATCAAACTTTTCTATATTTGTCGTTATTTCATGTATTTTTGAAGCTACAGAAAAATTATTACCAACTTCTTTGTCACTGAAAATTTACACCCCATCTTTTTTATTTGAAGAGATGTACCATGGTTACTACGAAGTTGTTCAGAATCAAAAAATGAAATTTGAAAAGAGTCAATTAGTTCACAAATCTATTAAAAATGAGTCGAATAAAAAATTCATAAAGATGTTTTTCCAGGTCTTTTTTGAAAAATCAAAAATGAATTTATGAGACCCCTTTCATCTCTTTCAGAAAAGTGTGAAAATAGTTAGTTTTTCTGTTTCTTCAATAGTACGGAAGGTAACAATGAATATAGGAAAGTCTAATTGTATTTACAACTCCCAAAACTACTTGCAGATATCAAAATTTCTCATCGAACCATTTTGTTCGCATCGGAGTCCTATGAAAATTTGTGAAACACTTTTGCATAACTGTAATGCTGATGGGTTGGTACATGGTAAAAAAAATATTGTTTTTTTGAACCCAGGATAGCCAAGAACATATTTTCCCACTTCGGACCTGAGATTATTAGGGAATGGGTTTCAATATAATGAAAAAACTTCTTGAACATAATCTTTTATTTTTTCTTTCAACAATTGTTCCTAGAGTTCACCTAATTAAAATGAGCAAATCAAAATGTATTTTCACAGCACAAATAATGCCTGTTGAGATGCACCACAAACAGTGATTTCATAGAATTTTCATACCAACATCAACTGGAAAGTATTAAAGCTATTCAAATATCAAGGTGCCATTTGAAATAAAAGGGTTTACTTTTTCAAGTAGAATACATATGACTATATAGCACAACATATTAAATAACGATATGGTGATTGTAGCAATTTATCAATGAAAACTTCAATTACTAATATTCTTATTTTATTGTTGGGAAAGTTGTTCATCAGATTACAAATTTGCTTTTTTCTACTTCAGTCGAAATTGTCACTTCAGTAAAATTTTGAAATTATCTACATTGATTTTACATAGGCCAGAACTTCCAAAAAATAAAAGAAAAAATATTTGAAAAGTACGTTTTAGCTAATATGGCAAGTTTCAACTACAAATCTAAAATCGGTATTGCAAATACTTTAATAATAGGTACCAAATTTTTTGGCAAAAATTTGAGAAGTCAAATGTTTAATATCAATTATTATGGAGGGCATTTTCAATTTTTCAACAAGCTGAAACAGACGAATATTACGTCGATGGGTGATATGGATAACTATAGTATATTGGCCTTATCAATGTAGAATAAACAAACATTTAATAAGACTAGATACACTGTATAGAAACCTAGAAATGGTGCCTGAATTCAATTCCGAATATCAAATAATGAGTTTTATTCCTTAGTGCTAAACATAAAATTCATCATATAACACGAAATAAATAAATAAATTAATACATACAATCAGCTGCAAAATATACAAGCAATCCCAAAAAATGTGCAAGCATGTAAAAAATGAGAATGATTTTACAGACGAATCAATTTTACAAATTGAGAGTTTTGTATTTCTAAATACATTTGTTAAAAATGCGATATCTTGCATATCTGATTTTGTTAACTTATCGGTACAAGAATATTTTATAGTTTACATAAGAAATCTAGATATGCATTCGATATTGATATAAAATCCTTGTTAATTCTTTTTGAATGATAAAAAGCCGTCACTGGCATCAAATGATTTCCTCTTCGAAGTGTCAGTCAAAATTATACATATTAAGCAGTAATACAATCAAAATCAAAGTACATTTGAATACTCACCCAATTAAAGTAATGAGAAAATCAAATATTTGGACTATTTACAGAATTTATAAATATTCTTAAGTACCTGAAATTACTAAAAAAAATTGAGCAAACATTTTCCCAAATATTTTTGATGTATCCAAGTTTCACAATTTTCAATAGTTTGTTGATTTTATTTTGGTAAACGTGAAGAATATAGTGAATTCTTTGATTCTGACTAAATTTCCAGTGAAGCTTCAGAACACCCTAAAATGAACAGCACAATGAAATTTTTTGTAATTTTTTACTTTTCTATTTTCCAGTCAGTTTTCAAGTTTCTTGAAAAATTTATCTAAATCACTATATTCTCTACATTTCCTTTATTTCAATATAGCACTAACTAAATGTAAACATTATTGTAGAAAATTTACAAAATTAAGTTGAAAGTTCAGATTTATTGTATGTTGCATCTTTTGGAGTGGCCGAGAATAGAGATTTTTTTAACTAGACCATTGAAATTCACTATTCAAATCGATATTTACAACATTTGCTCCAAATGATGTACAAATTTGATCTTTTTACTTATGAACCACTCAGGGCATACCTAAACTTCTATGTGTTCCCATATAAAAAATATCACAGTAGTTTTGTTCAACTTGCTTGAAAATTATAACATTTTATTTGTCAAATAATTGTCACACGTGTTCATTTGTCTACATCTCTCTATAAGTGTTCTCAACGGGAATTTAACTACACGTTTTACAGCTTCCAACGGTTTCTTTAGAACTGGCTACGTCCTACAATATATATTCGTTTTGATAATTATGTTGTTTTTCAAAATGAAATCTCATTTTCTTTTGCAGCCTTTATTCTTTCCTTACCTTATATCTATGACTTATGTGGAAAGAAACCTCAACAATGTAATCCCTTAATCAATAATTATTTCTCAGTGTCTCTGATAGAATTACTTTTCATAAATTTTGTGCAAGGCATATGGTCCTGGTTCACATAAATATTCATGTTACTATCCTGTGAATGGACCACTTCAAATGATGTAACAAATAAAATACTTCAACTTAATTTGCAATTCATATAGTAGAGTATAGTCTAACTATATTTTTCCGTATCTAACGATGGAAAATCTAATGAAATTTCAAAATATTTATTGGGTGAGATATGTGCAATCTCAATAAAGGGGTTTCTGAAATTTGCAATACTACAGATTTTTTAGACTTAAAACGATTATACTTATATAAAGAACTGTCAAATAGGAGAATACAAATTTTACTTTTGATATGTTTTTAATGAATTGTATAGGTTAGCTGGAAACTATACTTCAAATTTGCTAACTAATATTGTACATTAACACTTCAGTAAAATTACATTATGTTCAATGTAGTTTCTCTCAATGATGTGAAATGAATGAAATTAGCTAGTCAAAACATAATCAGTAATTATTGGAAAAGCAAACAACTAAATCATGCTGATAGTAAATGAAACTATGAGGTATAGTTATCAGATATGTATTCTGTGCTTCGGAAACCTTTCTTAATTTATTTGCGTTAGAGAATTTTTGATGTCTGGTGCTGTGGAGAAGTGACTATATATTTGAACAAGAGAAGTCAGTACCAGACATAACATAAACATGAAAAGTTCACTTATCCTTCTTGAATACAAATTCACCAAGAAATGTTTTCTGAAACAAATGAACTGATAAGTATCCAATAACTATAACAAGGTATAATAAGACTTGAATAAATAATTATAATAATAATTGTAATTTATTGAACGAAATTACAATTTTGCTCAACTGGTAAGACTTGAATTTTTGAAGAAATTACAGTTTACAGAATCTTAATGTACACATCTGAACGACATGAATAATAGAAGCGTATTGGCCAATATATCCCAGGAAATCTAGAGAGTAGTGAGCGATGTTGTAGAATTTATTATTCTCGGATTTCACATGAAAAAAATCTAGGTTACCACCATTGAGAGAGCTTCTTTATTAAAAGTGAAACAGGTGGAAACTTCATCAAAAAACCAATGACAATTCATTAAACAATAGATTTTCAGTTATATTATTTCGAGTAATTTAACTGTCGCAAAATAGCTTCTGAATATTTTGTCAAACAGTATTTGCCAATCCTATTTGCCAGTGCTCATCAGTGTCAGTACATTTTGACAACTACAACAGAAATATGAGTTATACATCTAAGAGTACCATCAAAATCGAGAAAAAAAAATTGTTTTACTTACTAATATATCTGAAATGTTCACTCAAGCTTCTCAGTTACACTTGATATTTCCATTAATATTAATAGACAAAAGTGAATAAAAAGTTGACAGTTAACTCACGAGTTGTATGTGCTAGACAAGCATATATCCAAGTGCAAAATTTTGTTCGAGGCTGAATAGACAACATTCAGATTACATATTTCGAAATATATTAGGCGCTTTCTGCGGATTAATATGTTGCACATTCTAAAGGGTTAGGGGCTGACTAACTTGAGGGGCAAAAATGGGAAGCAGCTAGTTGCAGCGGGTTTTCGCCCCTAGCCCCCTCTCTTGTCATACGTATTCTAAGGGAGTTTTTTTACCTTTGCACCTACTTTCGCAGTACCTTTCAATAAGTTTTTTTATCTCGGAAATTATCCATACCGACGAAGAAAGACCGGTCAAAAACGCCATATCTGAAAAAAAAATAAAACAGTTTTAATCTTCCTCTTTGAAGATGATCACTTGGTGATCGAAACACGTGTCAAGGTGTTAAAAATAAAGATTTGGTGTTGGGAAAAAACTCCAGTAATATTGATAAGTTGATTAGGAGAAAAATAATTATGTGATGACACAGACAACGTTGAATCGCAGAAAGTCACAAAGATTATGTGAAAAATGGTTGTTCATAAGTTGTTTTGAGGTTATAAAAGATCTCTCACAAGACGATTGCTTGCGCTATTAAGCATTCTAATTCAGAACGAAGTTAAAATTCCAAATAATGAAACACATGCGTATTCAGGATTATATTTGAGCTAACGAGCTCATTCTATTTTATATATTTTATTTGAATTTTGAAAATTTAATAGATAATGATAAACATTTGGGTGGTACAAAAATGAAAATATATAAACGGTAGGTACTTGAACTTTGAAAATATGATTTGAATTACAAAACAAGTTTAATGTTATTAAAATATTTTTCCTGACCATCATAGTTGGCCTATTGGCCACTTGCATCCAAGATCAACAATTTTTCAAACTTACAGTAATTAGTTTTTTTGCAAAATATAAAACCCGTATATTTCTTTGATATTCAGTTGAAATATGGAAAATAAAGACCGTACAGACCAAAATTATTTGAACGACTTACCCCAGGCAGTTAGGGACTCTGTCTGAAAAATGCTTTGTAAAGGTGGTACATATACCACCAGCATTTGTCCGATTATTGATAAAGACACAGCAAGCAGAAACATCTTGTTAGAAAAAAGACCAATACTGAAGACGCTTTTAGTCTGTGATCGGCATGACAGGGCATTCCACATGTCAAAAAACACAAAGCAGGTAAACGTCATTGTTGTATCTCTGGCTGTAATTCCTTCTGAACTTAACTGAAAAAAAGACAGCCTAAAATTAACTAGTAAAAATCACTAAAAGTTGGTTATAGATAGAAATAATTTCAATGTAAGAGAGTTTCAAATCTTCCCCTCTAGTTTTTTGATAATTTGCCAATAATTTTTTTGTCACATTCAAAATACTGCAGTTTTGAATTATTGGATGAATAATTTGAATATATAATTGAAAAATTTTTGAAAAGATTTCAAAATATTTCCAAACTATTATCATTGCATGTTCATACAATGATGAATTTCTGTAGTCAATAGAGTCACTTAAAAACATGACATGATGAACAATTATTGTTTTCATTTTGAAATTGACGGATTGTTCAAATTGGGACCTGATGATTTTTTCGAGATAATTCAGTGATAATTTGTTGTAAACATATATTATAATTGGAAAGATTTTTAAGTACACCCCTTATATTGCAAGCGTTCAAACTTTAACCATCATTTATGTTTTTAGCATATTTGACTTGATCTCATTTCATGGCAGTTATTAAATAATGTACTGTAAAATTCAGTACTCACTTCCTTCTGGAAAACCCATAAGGTACCTGAGATAATGACTAATGAAGATAAAAGAACATTCAAAATAAGCCTTTTCGTGATCATTGGCTCTTTGGTATCTCTGGCTCTTTGTTTCACAACGTCTTCTTCTACAGGTTCCACACCCAAACTCTGGGCTGGTGGGCCATCCATAATGATGTTGATCCATAAAATCTATAAAAAATCATTTGTTATTCATATATGTAACGATCATCATAGAGTTTTAAGTGATAAAGGCATGTTGTTGGTAAATATCTGGGGCTTTATATATCGCAAATTGACAAATAAACATTCTCCTTTCAATTGAGTAGTTTTGAAGGATCTAGTGGTTATTTTATATAATTTGATGTAAAGGATTTCCTAACAGGGACTTTCGAACTTTGACAATTGATAACGGCCATCTTGTTATATGAAAATTGTTTAATCAAAATGGGTGTTCTCTTCAGACAACATTCCGCGTGCTACGCACATTTTACGGGCGCCATAATCGTCCTACGGAGAGGACTATTCGCAATGTGGTGGATAAATTTGAGAGTCCACTGGGTGTTGGTCGTTCAGTAAACAATCGACCAACACCCGTACATCGACGAAACGCAGGATCAGCCAAAAACATCGCCGCTGTCTGTGAGAGTGTACAGGAAAATCTGAGACAGTCGATTTCGCGTCACTCACAAGAACTCGGCCTTTTGCAGACCAGAACTTAATGAATTTTGCGCCGTGACTTGGGCCTGCAACCATACAAAATTCAACTGACCCAGGAACTGTAGGTAAACGACCATAGAAAATGACGTGTGTTCGGTGAATGGGCTCTGGAGCAGTTGGCAACTGACCCTAATTTCCATCGAAAAATAATCTTCAGCGATGAAGCCTATTTCTGGATGAATGGCTATGTAAACAAACTAAATTGTCAAATATGGAACGATACCAATCCACATGAGACACAAGATCGTCCAATGCATCCCGAGAAAGTCACTGTTTGGTATGGATTTTGGTCTGACGGCGTTATCGGTCTATATTTCTTTGAGAAAGACGTTGGCCAGGTCATCACTGTCAACGGCGAGCACCAAAGGTTGATGATGACCAACTTCAACATGTGGTTTCAACAACTGTGGAAGCTGTGAACCATGGTACACTTAGTTCAAGCAATAATTTACAATGAGTTAGTCCACCTAAAAACGTATATGCATTTATAATCACTCAACGGAGGTATCCACAAATATCTGACTAGAACAAGATCTCAATCCCATATCTCTATTCCCAATAAAAGGTTAACCTCTACAAATGAAAAACTCACTTGTACCATATTGTTCAACACTCTTTTAGACTTTATCAAACAAGCTCCAATAGGCACGTTTAAATTGAAATTGAGAACTTGCTTACAATGCTTTGTCTATCATTGACACCTTTGAATTTCTATTTTCTTTATGCTTTATGCATAAATTCAGAAATTGAAATATTAATCGTGCCCTAACAATTTTTTTTTTAATTTTGAAACCCAGTTCTTTAATGTATTCAGTGACATGTCGAAACTCTGTATCGAGTAATATTGGCAAAGTATATACGTACATACAAACACTTGTATTCGAGTGAGAATAGTGTGACGTGTAGTCGCCTATTGAGTGTGATATAATTATGGCTTATTGACAGTTTGGATGATTATGAGAAAACCTCNTAGATATAATTTATTTTATTTTTTACACATTTTTTAATTTATAACTTTGTGACATTATCTATTTCGTATAGTTTTATTTCTTTTCAATATTGTACATTGACGTTTTCCTCTTTTTCATTTGTACTTCTGCTCTTGTGGTTATACAAATCAATCTGAGTAAATAAAGAGATTATTATTATTATTATGGATTTTGGTCTGGCGGCGTTATCGGTCTATATTTCTTTGAGAACGACGTTGGCCAGGTCATCACTGTCAACGGCGAGCACCAAAGGTTGATGATGACCAACTTCAACATGTGGTTTCAACAACTGTGGGAGCTGTGAACCATGGTACACTTAGTTCAAGCAATAATTTACAATGAGTTAGTCCACCCAAAAACGCATATGCATTTATAATCACTTAACGGAGGTATCCACAAATATCTGACTAGAACAAGATTTCAATCCCATATCTCTATTCCCAATAAAAGGTTAACCTCTACAAATGAAAAACTCACTTGTACCATATTGTTCAACACTCTTTTAGACTTTATCAAACAAGCTCCAATAGGCACGTTTAAATTGAAATTGAGAACTTGCTTACAATGCTTTGTCTATCATTGACACCTTTGAATTTCTATTTTCTTTATGCTTTATGCATAAATTCAGAAATTGAAATATTAATCGTGCCCTAACAATTTTTTTTTTAATTTTGAAACCCAGTTCTTTAATGTATTCAGTGACATGTCGAAACTCTGTATCGAGTAATATTGGCAAAGTATATACGTACATACAAACACTTGTATTCGAGTGAGAATAGTGTGACGTGTAGTCGCCTATTGAGTGTGATATAATTATGGCTTATTGACAGTTTGGATGATTATGAGAAAACCTCTATGAACATTCAGTGCCTTCAATGATTAAAAACAATATTCAAAAAATTACGAGTAAAAAGGCGGAATCTCACAACANAAAATTTTTGAGAAAATGCTTAGCAGGGCCACGGGGCGATAGTTTGTAATATCCGATGTATCGTTCTTCTTATGAACTGGTATGATCATGGCTGTTTTTAGAATTGAAGGAAATTTGCCACTTGTGACTGATAGATTCAACAAATAAGCTAAATGTTTTGAAATGTGTAACTTAATTTCTTTTAAAATTCTCACTGATATATTATCAATTCCTGTACTTTTTTTATTTTTTAGATTGTTAATTACTGCGTCAATTTCACATTCGTTAACGGGCATAAAGAAAAAAGTATTCGATTCAATTCCAGAAACCGTGCATACGGATGATCTATTGTCGCCAAAATGGTCTGCTAAGCTATTTTCTACTACTGAAGAGAAATAGTCCCCAAATATGTTCGCAACATGATCTCTGTCTGAGATTACTTTATTATTATAGTTGAGAGTAATATCTCTTTGGATTTGTTTTCTGTTCGTTTCTTTGTTAACTAGGTTCCAAACTGTTCTATTTTTATTGTTAGAATTCTTAATTACATTTTCGTAAAAATTCAACTTTGAAGCTTTTATTAATGATTCATAGTCTTTCTTCGCTTTTTTGTATGCAGCACGAGAATCTTCGTTGCCTATATTTTTACATAACCAATGCATACTTTTTTAATCAAGACTGACCTGTTTCACTTCAGGAGTTATCCAGAGAATTGTAGTTGGGTATTCTTACCTGCATGGCATTCAAGGGGTTGGGTATATCCATCATTGTAGCGAGTCCTACCAACAACAAGGCAGCTATCGAAGTCGAAAGTTGAAAACTAACAAAATTCCTGATGTTGTAAAATATGCTTTTGCCCTCTTCTATGGCAGCTCTGTAACAAAAAATACTTCAATTTTTCACACCAGTTTTTTTTGAGAAATAAAACTTACATTATAGTATAAAAATCATCATCAACGAGTATCATATCTGCCGCCTCTTTGCACACATCTGTACCGTTCTTTCCCATTGCAATGCCGATATCAGCTTTCTTCAAAGCTACACCATCATTGACTCCATCACCAGTCATACCAACGATATGACCAGTTCTCTGTAAAGACTTGACTATCGAAAGTTTGTTTTTTGGAGAAACTCTATAAAAGACTGTGGCTCGAGGAGTTGCATCGTCCAATTCTGTTTCCGTAAATGAATCCAATTGCTCCCCAGATATCACTTGGCTAGGCAAAGTTTCGAGGCCAATCAATTGAGCTGAAAAATCACATTAATTTGTATGTATATGTATACCGCATACATTTTGAGAAAATAGAAGAATATAGACTATGTTACAACTACTCAAAAAAGTTGTATACTGGTCTGTAAAAGGATTTCAGGTGTGTATTGTGTATAAGTCAAATGATAATTGAATTGGGGCAGATTGAAAAAAAACTGCTGAAACTTATTGATTGGTTGATAGTTTGTACTGGAATCTCTGATGTAAAATGAATCTATTGAAAACACTTTCCCAACACCAGAACAAAAATTACGATTTCTCGAGATGCGTTTTCGCTAGACAAGTTAGCGTAACGCACACTAGTCATAATTATTGATTGGTATTTTCAGTTCCACTTTTTTCAAAAAAAAACTTCATACAGTCGGAGTCATCTAAATGTCACACCTTCTATTTTGCACCAAACTATTTTCTGGGTTTGTTGCCCGTGGTCTGCAAGTCTTACGTTTAGTCTACGATTGCGGTAGACATTTTTTTATTATCTTCACAGCACATACTGCATCATTCAAGGTTTGAGTCTGCAGTTTTATTCAGGTAGTGGGCGTGGTTTCGTTTCTCTTTGTTTCATTAAATGACCAGATTCGTCTATAATTTAGTGCAGGTAGCCAGATTTTATTTATGTTAATCCACTCTTCTTATATCTGTTCTTCTGAATTTCCATTGCCTCACATAATAGTCTTGAATAGTAGCTTTTAGTTCTATCGAGCACTTCGGTATCGTCAAATGCAATAACACAAGTGTCTTCTCTGAGTGCATATTCCGCTACTGCAGATTTGTTGAAGTGAGAGTTTCTCTTGTATATAGAGATCCAGGTACTTACACTTCTTTTCGTGGTTCCAGTGAAGACCAATCCACAAATACAAGTAATCCAGAAGCTAGTTTTGACAAAGTTGTCTCTCGCCATGAAATTTTACATCTTCTGTTCAGTAGCAAAAGTATTGGTTGCCAATAATTGAACAAACAGAGTGTTGCATTCAAAATAAAGTAAGAATTTACCAGTGTTATACATTACACACAATGTATGAAGAATTGTTGTTAGAAAAAGATGCACAACTGGAAGAAAGAGATTGGGTTAAGAGATTAAATGCCAAACATGAGCTCCCAAAATTAAATCTGGGCATATTGCAATAAAATAAATGAAAAACATGTAAGTAGTATGTAGTGCTAAAAATTATGTGTGATTGTTGATGGATCTATAAAATGTTCTAACTGTGCCAGGATAAACAATAATGTATTATCACTGAAATGGTCCTATCCTAAAGTCTAAAGATTCTTCTTCTGATGATATCAGATGTTTAAAGGATCTGGAAAATACTGTTTTATTCATGCCTGAAAAATTTGATGAATTTTTCGTAACGAAAAAAGAGTCCTGGCTGGAATGCAAACTCTAAAAAAAGAGAATACTGCTCTCAAAAGGAAAGTAAGAGAGAGATTAATTGGATCGAAGTAAGAGTTAACTGGAACTAGTAATCAGAATGGAGAATACTGCAAGAGTGTATGACAATCTTGATAAGTGTCACATCAGTTGGAAGCAATGACCAATCATTTTGTAATGTTATAAATGGATGTCTGTTTGTTCTATATGCAACTAATTGAAAAAGTTGAAAGATTGACCAAACTTGTGATTAGCTTGGTATGGTTATTACTGAAATGTGGCTGTTTTTCAGGGAAGATAAATAATAATAATAATAATAATTAATNTATGTATGGGTTTTATTTTACCGACTTTCAGAATTTCAGGGTAGATTCCTTCCTCCAAAGAGCTGTTAATCACACAAGTTAATGGTTTAACAATATATGTTGAACACTTTTTTAACAGACTAGAGCTAATATCATCATTACCAGTAGTATGTGTAGTTTTTAGATTACTTATTATACGTGTTATATCTGTTTCTAGAGCAGGTTTGAAGGAAAAAGTAAAAGGATTGAAATCTTTAAGTGTGAGTTCATATAATGGTTCTTTTATATTGTTCGAAAGTATTGTTGGAATACTATTAAAATACTCAGCAAAATGATTTGTTATTATCTGGGTGTCCTGAACAATATTGTTATCTATATTCAATTGAATGGCATTCGATCTTATCTTTGAATAATACAATATACCAGAATACAATGCTATTTTTCAGACAAGAGACAAAATTGTTGGGGTGGTTGAGGTTTATGTCAAGCAGTGTTATGATTTCACAGATATCATTAGACTGATTGGTATTTATTTCATGGATATTGGAAGATATAAATATGAATCATCCATGAATTATGTTCATTTGAACAATATTTTACCAACATGTATAAAACATAATTGAAAAACACCAATTGATTATGAATTATCTAATCAAATAACACCTAGTAATCTAATGGTCATTGATTATCTACTAAGTGACCATTGAATTCAAATTCTACAAACAAGACAGTTTTCAACAGAGAAGAATGTACTCCATACAGAATAATGTGTTTTAGAGATCTGCATCTTTGTTTAATATCCAGCTGATCATTACTGATACTGGCAATGTATCACATTTATTATGATATAATAAAGTATTGAAGTAATTGATGATTTTTATCAAATCAAGAATATTCAGTAAATACGAACAAATACTCACCAATAGCAATAGCTGTGTCCATAGCATCTCCAGTGACCATCTTTACTTGTACCCCAGATTCCTTCAATATTGTAACAGCTTCTCTCACAAGGGGTCTTGGTGGATCACAGATACCTACAATACCCAAATAAACCAGGTCCTGTAAAGTACTTCCTTTTGCCATTGTGATAACTCTCAACCCTTTTTTAGCGATTTCATGAGCTTCAGCTATGAATTCTGCCTTCTTACTATCAGTCATAGACTGCAGATTGCCATTCCAACTGTACTTTGTACACTTAGGTAAAATTTTTTCCATTGCTCCTTTAACAAAGTAGATTTCATCCTTAGAGTCGTCATATTTCGAAATGCATTTAACAGCCATCATTTTTTGTTCGGAGCTGAAAGGGTATTCTTTCAGTCTGATATAGCGGTTAGCTACAATGTCCATTCCGTGTTTCATTGCTGCAGCTAACAGTGCTCCTTCGGTGGGCTGTCCAGTCAGAGTGTCATTTTTTATTGTTGCATTGTTGCATACCACCCCAGTCTGAAAAGGAATGGGTCATATTTCAGTATTTGACAATGTGGGGTATTGAAACTTTTCACATATTTTCACAGTATATTTTGTAAGTTGTACTACCTATTATGTGGTATGACACCGATGACAAAGAAAAAAATGAGAAATTAGGTAGATGAAAGACATCTGGAAGATGACGTAAAAGTATCACAATGATACATAGTGAACTTGATGAAAATATTAAGCTGACAAAAAGATAAAGTTTCAGATGGAACTACCGAAATAATTTTCCTGTTTACATCTTTATCAGCCAAAAATGAATAGCCTCCCAATACAAATGCAAAGTTATTCAAAAACTGGTTTTAAAACAACTCAAGTACAGTCAAGTGCCAAACACTAAACTAGTATTCAGGAATANAGGGTAGATTCCTTCCTCCAAAGAGCTGTTAATCACACAAGTTAATGGTTTAACAATATATGTTGAACACTTTTTTAACAGACTAGAGCTAATATCATCATTACCAGTAGTATGTGTAGTTTTTAGATTACTTATTATACGTGTTATGTCTGTTTCTAGAGCAGGTTTGAAGGAAGAAGTAAAAGGATTGAAATCTTTAAGTGTGAGTTCATAGACCTCTCAGAGGATAGTTTTGCAGCTGTTTCTCGTTCATCCAGAAGTAGAACCACGCTCGTTAGTGCAGAACGGATCCAAACAAGACAGCGATGTGTCCGGTACTCGAATGATTTCATTGTTGGTCGACTACATATATGAAACTCTGTTAACTAGTAGCAGATTCAGCTCGTGAACAAAGTGTGAAACGGGAAGAACCATCTCATGTACCAAAGTTCTAACCCCAACAGAATTTAGGAGCAGTCTGATTACTGTTTTGAGTATTAACAGTGAAATAAATACGCGTCATATGGATTTTATATTAATTATTTCATTCGGAATTTGACTTTGGCAGTGATTTTCGATCCAGATGAAAGATAAACCAAAAACTGATTTGCATTATCTGTCTCTTGTCTGGATTCCTGGCTATACTGGCCTGAAACCAGAACCAGAACCTGTCATTGACATCGCTTAAGGCTTTGCCAAACAAAGATTGAACACCTGGATGGCAAGAAGATAAATGGACTTCTGGCAGAATCTTCCAGGATTGGCGTTTATTTACCTTTCGAAGCTCGATACTAAACAATTGTTGAACCACAGTAAGGATGACTTACGATGTCTAACAGGCCTTCTTACAGGTCACTGCCAAAATTATGTTGAAGAATCATAGAAAAAAAATTGACAATTCAAAAAAAGAGTATTTCAGTAACAAATTTCTTGAAGCTGATAACAAATCTAAAGTTGCCTGGAATATAATTGAACAGAATACAACATCCAATAATATGAGCAATCGTTTCCCGAATTATTTTGAAACTGATGATGGAACTCGGGTTCATGGTGGTCCTGTTATTCCTCAAGTCTTTAGTGATTATTTGTTTGACTCTGTAAATTCTCTAATCAATGATTCTAAGCCTGCTGGTGAACATCATCACGATATAAAAACAAACTCTTTTTTTCTTCATCCTTTAGATGAAACTGAACTTCTTGATATCATCAAGTCCATATCGTCTAATAACTCTAGTGGCATTGATGAATCACCAGGTAGAGTTGTATGTTGCTGAACTAATCATTGAATCACTTACATACCTACCTACTTGATCTCTTTTTCCTTGAGGGTCCATTTCTCTCGTGTCTTGAACATGCTATTGTAGTTTCTGTTCACAAGAAAAACGATAAGCACTCAATCTCCAACTACAGATTACTGGCAGATTACAATCTGTTAAGGTTAGACTCAAATCTGGAATATATCATTCTGAAAATCGTAACATATTAACAGGTGTCCTGGGTCCTACTCTCTTCTCTTATTCGTCAACGACATCTTTAATATAGTACAGTTTACTGATGATACGTCCTACTTATTGAGTTCTTCTTTTTGTGAAGGGTTATCTGACCAGGCTGATATTGCAGTTGCTAATATACTTAATTACTGCACCAGAAACGGCCNTACCGTTATGCATTATTTCATCTCAGATATTAGTTTGAGAAAATTATAACTGAAAAGAATTATTCGATTCATATATAATCTCCCACAGGTTGAAACATGTAGAAATCATTCACTATTATTATTATCAAGAAAATAGGTCGACTAAGTAGAGTCACATTTTTCAAAGAAAAACATCATAATGATAAACTCATATCGAATTCCACTTTTTCAATCAATAATTTAACAATTTTGAAGTGAAATAAAACAGGTGTCGTAATTTTGTGAACTGCTCAATGAAAATCTCAAGACGAAGTGGATTTCTGGATTTTCATTGGCCAGTTTTATGGTATATCCGTTCTAATTCACTTTTGACTTACACCAGTTATGGTTATCTTAGGTATAGTATTCAGATTTTTGAATGACTGTATCTGAAAGAGATTGTTCCAGAATATATTGAACCAATCAGGCCCCAACACAGTTCCTTGAGGTATCAAATCAATTTCCCACTACTCAGATGCTCTCCAATTCTCACAAACTATTTTCTATAAAACAAATGACTTTTAAGAAGATCAGGTGACGTCAAATTGCTTCAACATGAATGAATATTCCAGTGAGTCGTATGTAAATAATACAACACTATAATTTAGAAGCGAAGAAGTTGACGTGACGAGAATTCGACGCACTGAGAGTTGGACGTAGTGAGGATTGGACGTAGTGATAATTGGACGTAGTGAGAATTGGACGTAGTGAGAATTGGACGTAGTGAGAATTAGACGTAGTGAGAAAACGACGAGGTGATATGCATCCTAGAATTTCACTTCACTTCATATTCATAGATTACCAAATTCGAAAATTGTGAGACATTGCATGTATGTCGAGAAAGCTCAGAGTGATTGAGCCTTTGAGGAAATGTGCAGTCCGAGTATTAAACTAGCGCAAAATATCGTTGTTTCCTTCCTACTGAACAATCTAGTCAAATGTCACATTATACAAGTTCCGAGCATGCAATTTATTCTAATCTAACATTACTTTGGATGTTGGCAATATCGTAATATGAAAAATTAATTACTCGAGGCATAATTCAATGATCCATTCTACAAGCGCATTAATATGCCCATTAAGCTCGAGATATTTACGATTTACATCGTCTGCGGATAATCTAGCCACGCTCCAAATCCAGGTAATTATTAATATGCATACAGATTTATGCAATGAGATGCACATTCGGTGTAATTTTCCAATAACTCGCCAATGGTTTATTACCTTTCAAACGGTTCTCTCGGATCAATTAGAACGTCAAGCAATCGAAAAAAATAACGCGAAATTTTATATATTTCACTACCAAATAGTGTCTGTCATATCAGTTTTTCATGAAGAAGGTTCCGGTTTTCACCAGATCATCAGATATAAAAGCTGGGAGTTTCGAACTCTAGAAAGTCATAGAACAGTCTAGCACAGTCTAGTATTCGAGAACATTCTATAGGTCGTTTCAAAAGTTTTGTCTGTTTTCAAATCAATCGAAATAAGCGCCATTAGAATCAGTGCACCTATAGTCCGTTCATAATTTGTTGATAGCTCACTGCAAGTTTGACCCTCATTAGAGAACTGAAATACAGAGAGGACAGCTAATATGATATAATAACAAAAACCAAACTAAAACTGGCAGTTTAAGATGTTTTCGACTAACCCACCTTGTATCTGAAGAAATACAATACAGCTATAAAACTTTTAATCCGATTATGTAGGTATTTTGAGTGGNAGCAGGAACGAAAGGTACGTATATGTTTGTAGGAATATGAAAAAAAGTTACTCACGCACTGCACAAAATTCGCAAAATAAATATTAGAGACGTTAATTACTGCCGTAGACGCCGAAACACCAACGAGCCGTAAATTAAATGCGATTAAAAAATGTACTAAACCAAAAATTATTTTCGTTCGTAACAACTTCACCCTTTCAAGGCAAGTTTCGAATATAAACTGAAGCTTTATATTTAATGAATAAACACCTCAGGAACCTCCGCCTATGATTTTACGAGTTTTACGACCGTTTTATGACTTGGGCCCTCATTTTGTGCTATCGACAAATTATGAACGGACTATAGGTTATGTTAGGTTATGCTTTTCGTGCAGCGCTTTCGTGGCGCAGTTGGTCAAGTATGTGACGGTTACGCACGAAAACGCACGAAAAACGGTCGAGAACGCACTGTACTTCATTGCTTCTGTTAGTTGAATTGGCTGTGTCATGAAACCGGCTTTGTTCATCTACTGATAGGGATTTTAAAAATCAATTTTACTTTGAGAAAAAGTAGTGGGGTGTCATTTTCTTCTTTAGATTCAGTGGAAATTCCGAACGTATGTCACTGGCAAGAATACATTTCTCTCATATATTGACATTGTACTAAGAAACATCCTATATTTGTTCATCTTCTCTCTACTCTTTACGTCACTTCACAATAATTGTAAAGCAGATGTATAACTTTCTTAGATAACGACGGCACAGAAAATTAATTATCGAAGTGGCGACTTCTAAAGACAATGGAAGTTTCAATACCATTACACATAATGGATGGTAATTTCTTTAGTGCAAAGGAGGACATCAATAAAAATGTTCCTACTGATCTGCACTGTAATATGTACTATTTTTTTACGAGACCGAATTTTCAATTGATTCCCATGAAAAGATAAAACTTTAATTCTTGTTAATAGCCCATAATTACACATTCATTTCAGTGAAATATTAACGCGTCAACTCCCTTTCAGGGCCTAATTGAAAACAAGGGAAATTTCAGTTGCGTTGTTGACTTTTTCAGAGATTCGTATCAGCGATGAGTCAGTGGCGACATTATGGAAGATCTGAAAATTGAAACCTGAGAGCGAGTTCCCACCTGAGTCTACACCCCACTATAGACATAGACTGCGGAGTAGGGTAATCGGGTGGAATTTATACGTGGACTATTCAAAAAATTAAGTGAATGTTCAAACTTCGCGTGTTCGT